ATCGAAAAAAAAATTGGCTCACAATGTATGCGGAAGAATGCTCAATCAACATTTCTGATTTATCATTCCAACAATAGGCAAACAATTGTGATTTCTGATAATTAAATTGGATTTTTATTCAGCTCTGAAATTTATTTAATTACAAGCAAATTTAATGGAGTTCTATTTTCAAAAAATGATCTGTCCAAACAAATTAAATAATTTATCAATCTAACCTCATATTTATTGATTCATTCATCCCATTCATCCCATACCCGTAACAACACACGAGAACAAGTTGGATTCATCCAAAAATTCTTGCTGATTGATCTATTCCACTGACTTTGAAACTTATGAATTATGAAAAAGTCATAGGATAGGGAAGAATAAAAAGAGCATCATGTTTTGTTAGCAAGAGAAGTTCATGTTTTAAAAAATCTGGAAGATATGGATTCAATTAGTAATAACAATAATAATAATAATAATTGTTATTATTATCGAATCTTTCAATGATGCAGTTATGAAATGCATAATTGCTTGAACTCTTCGAACCGTAGATCATGAAAGTAAGAGTAAGTTATTTTGTTTCGCTAAATATGTTTCAAGCAAAAGTCTCATATATCAAATTATATTACTGAATAATACCATACGGGTGTGTTAGAAGTGGTTTTGAATAAGTATATTATTAATCTAGTATTGAGTTATTCTTCTACTGTTTATTACTTGACAAATATGCTAGTTTATAGAAAGTTGGTTAGGCTTGAATGAAGGAAGAAAACATACATTGAGGTAATAACTTTCTTTTAAAATGTTCGATATTTTAAATTGGTTTCTCCATCGGAATATCATATTCAGTGCTGTATGAAAATATTCATACTGAATAATGATGTAAAAGTATTGTAGAAAAGCTGTGATTCTTTAACGCAATTCAGCATATCAAATCAATCGATAATTGTCTCATAATAACTTCAACCTGTAAAAGAGTATCTTTTATACTCTTCATAACTTTCGATAGATCACACATAAAAGAAAACCATATTAGCTAAATTTTAAGCAATTGAAATTAAAGTAATTTCAACATATCATTCAGCAGTTTATTCCAAGCTTCTTAGAGGAAATAACCAGAAATCAAGATCAGCACTCAACTATTAGAAATCTAACTGTTCAAATTTAAACAACATTATTATGAAATATTTTAGTGAATCCAATAAACTAGTTACTTATTTTATTTAAAATAAATTTTCTTGTTCTCCACACTATTTACTTATAAGTAACTTCTAGTATGAAAAATAACTTCTCCAACATCACTGATAGATCGTTTATCACAATTGTCCAATAAGTATCCAATTGATTGAAAACTCATACAACAACAATGGTAAATATAGTGTGTGTTTTATTTTGGTATAATTTCCCCATTAAAACATATATTCATAAATGTATATTATCATTAGTAATATGTAAATTTTATTCCTGTGCGATTTCACCTTATTGATTTAATGTGTTCATATTATTAACAACCAATTCAATGTAACTATACCATAATTATATTTGTTAATTAATAGAGACCAAAGCAATTTATTTAATTTTGTTCTTAATGTTCTATGTTAATAGCTTGGCAATACAAAAAATAATAATGATAATAACATGATAACAATAAAATCATCGAGAGAAAAAAATGTTTTCATATTATTGTAATGATTATTTATCATATATGGAATAAAAATATTACCTCTTTAGAAAATCTGTCAACAATGTGTTAAATTTTTAAAACCTATAAAATTGCATTGCGATTCATTTAATTGCAAATATTCGTTTATCATTTAGTTGACAATTGAATTTTTATGAAAAGTTTTTGCGGATATTATAGTAATTTAATAGTTGAATTTATGAGTCAATTGAAGCTAGACCATTATGGAAAACCTTGAAGTGGATTGGTTGAAGTTAGACATTAATAACGTTTGATGCCGGTTCAGTGGTCTAGAGTTTCGCGAAAGATTGATAGGCCCTGGGCTAGAATCTCGCGAGGCGGGATCGTGGATCCACACTGCTAAGGAGTCCCATACTAGAACTAAACGTCCGTCCAGTGTTTCCAGGTTTTCCATGGTGGTCTAGCTTCAATTGACTCATGAATTCAACTGTTAAATTGAATTTCTATCTAATATCTCTATTACGATAAAATTATTAACTCAAGCTCACTGTTAAAGTAGACGAATCCTGATTTAAGATAATATTTCAGGATAGTGACATGTTGTTATGGAATGTATGTTATTTCACAAGACGGATAAAACTAAATAATATTCATACTGTAATTAATATTTTTGTTGTTGTTGATAAAGCTCATTTTATTCTGTTTTAAAATTTCCATATCAATAAATTGAAAACAAATATAAGTTAAATATATTTGATGGATTACACTTCAAACAACATTACAATACAGTCATACAAATAAATCATAGTTATTATTAGAGAAAAATTTACAATCATTTTGGCTAAAACTAGTATCATAAATAAAATTTACCATGTGTACTAATCAAAGTAATTACTATGAATAAAAAATAGATGGATGTAAAGTTTTGCGATTTAGAAGACAACTGAACATTTTTGTTCCTTTGAATCAATAAAACATTGGTAAATACAATAGTATTAATAATATTCCCCGCCTGGAATCCCTCCAGGGGCTACTGCCGGTCCCAAGCCCGGATAAAGGAGGGGGATTGGGCATGGGGTTAGCGACCCCATCCCGTAGAAAACTAACTCGCTAAAAAAACGCTAACAAGTAAGTAAGTAATTATATGAAAGACACGTTTCATAATTTTCGAGGGCTGATTATTTCACGTTATTACCTAAAAATATACTTTATTGACAAACAATTAGTGTATATCTTCAATAGTGTCTATTTTGTAATATTTTAATATAACAATTAACTGATTTAGTGTAGAAAAAGTTCCTATATTCATATTCAATAAGATTCTGTAGACATTACAATTGGTTAATAGTTTCTGTTAGTCGAGTTAAGATTTTCTAGGGTTATTTACTTTGTTTATACAACTGGTTGTGACTTTTAAGGTGCACCTGTAGTTAGCATCAATTTCAATATTGTTCCATTCCTCTTGAATATATCACTTAATAAATGTATGATATATAATTTGATACTATTTCAAACTAAAAGATATCGAGGTTTTTAAATGTGTAAAACTAAATATAACACATTGTGCACTATTTAGCAAAAAGTGTTCGAAAACTTCTTACTGAATTATACTTCATTTTTACTAAATTTTTATATAAGAAAGCTTTGATATATATAGTTGTTTGTTGTCTGAACACATCGCAAAAGCTATTTCTGGAGTACACATGATATTTGTATGCTATCAGTTAAGTATTAAAATTACGATAACACTCATTTGAAATAACGTTTGGATTTAATAATTTAATAACTTCACCTCATTAATAGGATATAAGTGTTTCCTGCACAGACATACCTTTCAACAAACTTCAGTACAATACATCAAAATGTTACATTTGATCTTTCTATTATTCAAGTTTACTTTGTTTAATTTTTTTTCTAAAGTATGGTTCGCTCACAATACCTGACCGTGAAAATCTGAGTTATTATCTGTTGCGAAAGTCACCTAACAGTAAAAAGAAAATGGTTTGATTACGGTCAATTTTATTAAAACTGAAGAAGCTTTATTATAAACAAGCTTACATTTAGAGTTCTCTTGTCTTTTTTGTTTTATCTCTGCTTATAAAAACGAAACAGTTTCTTCTGTCACGCACAAACCATAAATGACCTCAGAAAATTTGAAACACTTTTTCCTTATTATTATTATTATTATCATCACCATACTTTTACTTTATCTAGCAACTTAGAGTCTTTTTTAAAACATAACTTTATTAACATATTACACAGATTCTAAATTTACACACTAGACTGCTTTTCTATTTCATGTTTATTTGACAGCATGCAACTTGAATTCTTAACAAAAGGTTATACATTTTCATGAATAACATCTTTAAAAAAGAAATTCAATTTCTTAAAGCTTTAACTATCAGAAAGAAAATTAAATAAATACCATTATCTAATATGAAGAAAATATGATCAGTTAATCCATTAAAAAAGGGAATGTGAAAACACATAAGGTCATCAGGATGAATTTTCTTTACACTTAAACATTTAGGTTAATTAAAATTGAATCTAACATTGACTTAGTTTGCTCTCTTGTCGATTGAAAACAGGATATATCAAGTTGATTAATCTTTAGCTAATTTAAATAGATCAGATTTGAATGACGTTATTTGAAGTCTAGTGAAATTTTATACTCACTTTAGAATTCAGTAGGTAAATATCAATATTTCATACCATGTATTATGTGTCTTAGTAAGACCATTTTGTAATCAATGTAAAAGTTTTCCTAAGAAAATGGTACTCGGTATATCGATAGCAATCTTATACGATTACTATCTTTGTATGTTTTGTCACGAGTAGAAATATTTATCGTTTGTTGTGTAAACTGTACTGTTTCAGTGTCTATAGGTAAAATGTATGTACTTTACTAGCATACAATGTAGTTTACTCTTGATTTTCAACTAAGTAATGTGGATTTCGTGGAATAAAAGCTGATGGTTGCTGTTATCTCTACCTTTATCATTTTTCGATTTTTATAAAGCCAGGTATTACCACAGTAAAAGTCACTATATAATCGTACACAGAGTGCACTTTACGTACAAAATCTAAATATTGAGGAGAATGTTATCCTCATTATCTTTATCTTATTGTTTATGAACACAAAAAACAGTAATTCAACCAGATATATTTACATAATTACCCTATGAAGTCCGAATGTTTTTATTCAGGTTTAATTTGTTATCTATATTAGAAGCATTCAAGGCTCAACAGTTCTTTTCAGTTAACTTCTTCGACAGTTCTAACGACATTTTGTCATAAAAGTAAACCAATAGGTCTAGTTCATTTTGCTTTAATCTAATTATCGATTATTTGTTTCATTTTGATTTTTCTACAGCTAAACGATGTCAGTGTTCTTCTTGGTTCAATTATATCAAGGCGCGAAATGCTGGAACAGTCCCAAAATGCAGCTAAAATTTTATTTCCCTCATGTGTAAGTAATAGTGACATGTTTTTCAAACGATAAATATGAAGTTGTCAACGTTTTTGTTAATGAAACGGATGAGCTTATTAGTAACAGTTGTAAATGCGTTAAGAAATCACAGTCAAGACTATTGTTTGCTAGTACTGATAAGTGTTTCATGTTGACTATTAATACCAATTATTGATTATTTAGAAAAACCCTATGGATCTCTGGATTCAGTAGCTAAATGGACAACGTGATTACGTTTGAAACAGACGGTAATGGATCCGATTCCTGGAGTGAACATCAACTATTGGATGCAGGTGTATCCAACCGACGATTCTCAGTCAGAACGAAACGTCTGTCCTAGATTGCACCGTTACCCATCATCCAACTCTGCTAATAAAGACCTATGTCATTGGTGTAAACATTTATCATTATCAAGAAATTTCAAACAGAATACTGCTTCAAAATTAGTGATTAAATTGTGTATAATTGCTTCTAAACTTGGCATGTTATTAATAGTTTATGAGTCAGATCATGAATTAGTACCCTGACTGTTGTTTAACTGTTGTCAATTGAATGGTTCAAAGTTCAATTATTTTGATCCAAATGTTCTTTTAGTCTGTTGATATCTATTATTACATTAAATTAGCAGCAATGAAATTAATTAATACTTTTACATTTTTTATTTTGTACTACTTTTTACATCTTTAACTCTATACAGAAATTTATTGATATCGTTAGTAAAATCTATTATGTAGGATGCGAAATAGAAATTCTATTTGGAATCGATATTTTTAGATATTCTAATTTAATGTTCTAACGAACATTTGCTTTCCAAAAAATAATTATATTGTACTCGTAAATGAAATGATTCGTACAATGGCAAACTTCCAATATGATCTACATATGATTTTTTTATATTTCTATATTCATTTATTTTCAGTTTGATTCTTTGAGATTGTAGGTCTAGGTTTATGAGATTTTATAAAAGATATCAAATGACAGTTTTTACATTTTATTGTTTATATTTCTTTCTTTTTACAGTGGTTAGCTGAACTGGTTATTTCAAATAGACATCAACCATCAGTAAACTGTCCTCTTGAAGTACTTATTCGTGAAATCAGGTAAACAATGTGTGATTTATTTTTTATACACTGGCTTACATTATTTTATTCAGTGAATTTATTCTTTCCCCTCAAAACATTCCGTAGATACATAAATTTTTCCACTTCTACTTATACTGCTACTACGTTTACTACTCTGGTACTTGTATCGATAATTTTATGTAGTTGTGTTAATTTGATATAGCAGACTGAACCAATATACATGTATACTAGATCCGACGTTAGATTTTATTGATTGGAAGACAGACGTGCATATATTTAGTATTTAACACAAAAGCTTTGGAGATAACTTATTCCTGTCAGCAAGCTGTTTATAAAATCTGATTCCTTCATCATAATCTCATCTTATTAGCTGTGGTTACAAGAACTTCATCCAGATTTGCCTAATAAAGACAGAATATGGAACTGAAAGACTTTGTATATTAACTGACAGAGAAGCTCACCAATACTCACTTTATCTTATTGATCCATTCATGGATCCAGAATTGTTTGTCTTCACTTTATTAAATTATGACTCAGTGGTATGCATTATCCAGCTTTTATAGTAAATGAATCCATGTATGAATACGAAGTATGTGTTAAGTTGAGATTTATTAAACAAAGAAGACAGACTTATGTAAACTCACTTCATATTCTCCTATTTCGATTGACCCAAGGGAAACAAATTTATACTACTTTCTGTACCTTAATTTATGAAACTAAGCTTTGATCATAAAAACGACAATCTAACCATCATATTATGCTAAATGACAAATGAAGGTAAACTATACCTCTTGAGAAAGCAGTAACATTTCATAATGAGTATAGTAAAAGTTTACTAACATGGTTCACGAAAAGTTATTTTTAATATTTTGGAAACCGATTCATATATATGTATATATATAACCATACTTAAGTTCGATGTTTTCATTACCAGGTCAGTGTGAGCTCTCACGACACTCTTCTGGTTGGGAACTTTATTAATGCGTGTTATTAACGTCGAATTTTGTTTTATTTTACTTTTTTTAAATAGAGACTCAACTGATCAAGAGATTAGTGTTAAAGAAGTAACGACAAGTTTTATTAATCAATTAGCATCTGTTAGCAAAATTCAAAATCAGTCAAACTTCAATACAACGAACAACAATCAGCACAGTGAGCACTTTAAAAACAGTTTGGTTTGTTGTATGTATATTAAAGTTATACATAATTATTAATAACAATGTCTTAAAATACACGTAAGAGATTTATCTTTTTTAAAAAGTAATTTTGACTTGTCATTACATGTTAATTCATTTGATTTAGTAACAGAGCATAGACACTGAGATACTGTACTTTTTATTTCGATCGTGTACATTAACAAAATTTATCAGATGTGATCACTGTTTAGAAGCTGTTAATCTTCAATCCCTTCATAGTGTTTGATTGTAAGAAATCACAATAAATACAAATTGTAATAATTTAATTTACATCTGTTTGAATGAACTTTCACAATAGAGCTGATATTAAAAAAAAAACAGACTGTTAACATACAGACTAATACTGATCAATTCATTCGAAGTACAAACATATTCATCATAGAAAACTACCTTTCCCTTATATATTTTCTAGTAGAATACTAATATTATGTTATCAGAAGACCCAAAATATATGAGGCAAAAGATTTAATAAAATGCTATTCACTTAAAATCAAATGAAACATAAAAATACCAGGCTAAATGATATCATTGTTGTACCACATTGTTTTAATTTAGATTTCCATTGTTAGTAGGAGATTTGAATACTGAAAATATTAAGCCATATTAAGTAAAACTAATATTAGATTGTTTTCACAGTTCATGACAAATAAATGTTATCTTTCTAATAAGGAATTTACAATTTCCTCAATTAGTTTCCCTATATTACAAAAGTATTATGATATATATTTAGTATACTTTTATACTTAAATCTATGTTATGTGTTGATCAAAATAAATATGTTCATAAACGTTTCTGTGTGTAGCGAAACCTATTTACTATGGGTTAGAAGAAACTGATGGATTGTTTATTACCATATTACTGAACTCATAATAGGTGATATAATAAATGAATATAAGATAAAAGGTGTTGTTTGATTAATCCTGGTTGAAAATACTCTTTTTGCGTGTCAATCAAAAGATAAGATTAAACGTTGATATAAGGCGTATTTAAACCTGTCCAACAAACATCAATTTCTTTGAATCTCCAGCTGTGAATCAGAGTTCCAGCCCTCCCTCTGTTGGGAACGAGTGAATTAGATTTTTAGTTCATTCAGTCAAAAATTAAATTATGTATTTCTAAATAAATTATATTATCATAGGAATCTGTTAAACATAAAAGAATATACATTTTCATTCATTTTCTTAAAATAAAATATACTATTATATAAAATATGACCATATAGTTTACCCAACTTGAAACTTGATGTTTCCATCTCAGCTAAAATGTTGACTTCTACCATGATTCTAAATTTTCTTCTGAATAAGCAAATTAACCTTGGTACTTACATGCAATAATAATATATGGTAATATTTAAACAGGCCAAAAATTTTAAACAGTTGCAAAGGTAATATAAAGTAATAATGACTATTAGCTACTAAATTTCTGTTCAGTTAATAACATCTCTTTACAATAATGCTTTAGCTTATGTAACAGCCATGTCATATACTTAATACGATAGACACATTTCTATCAATAAAAATGTAAACGTTCAAATTCTTGGTGCTGAATATGATAAGATTATTGATATCTACAGTTGTTAGAGAAGAACATTTTTAATATTATTTATGTTTGCCAGCGGCAAACATATTTTTAAACCAAGTTATTTTCAACAAATTACTCATTTAGTCGAAAATAAAGATGAATATGTTCAATATTAAAGCTTACTAAGTATTCTTGATATTTGTTTTGGTCTAGCTCAGCTGATTAAGCATTAAAAATATATACAGAAATTGAAACTAATCACAAGTCGATAAATAGAACATTTTCACATGAAGTTACTTTATTCTAGAAGTTCATTGTTAAGAAGAAATGATATTGTTTCTAATTTGTTTTTTTCTTCATTCATTAGTGATATCATTCGAGTTGAATAAAGACAATAAATATGGTGAATATGTTGCTCATTTTGTTGTAAGTGAACTTTAAAGTGTTAATCTCAAATATATGTATATATAATAGTTTATTATTTCAAAACGTTTTTAATTATTTCGACAAACAAAATTACTTGGAAGGTATTTATGATATTAAGAAACAAGAAGTGATCATAACGAGTTCATAATGAACAGTATTGTTTGAACAAACATGAGTTCTTCATACATAGCATAATATTTAGGAAAAGTGCATAACATTTAAAGCTTGAAGATGAATATAATACATTGCTTGTCGTTCTGAGTGTACTTATCTATTGTAATCTTTTTTCATTTCATGTGTTTAAAACAATAAACTGTGAAAAATATATTTTTAAAAAATGTACATTTCTTTAATAAGATCTAACGATAGTTATTCATTTGACAACTGGTAAGTCAATAGTTTTGACCTTGCATTCATACAACGCATTTGTTTTACAATACAGTACATATTAATAGCAGGGATGACTTAATAGATAAAGTGATAAAAATTATTGTTTCTACTTTAAAAATTGTCATATAAGAGGCAGTTGTTTTAATGAATGTATTTGAAAAAATTTCACTAAGTTTTAATCCATAATTTCTTTTGAATGCAGCTACGAACCCATATTGCAATATTTTAATACGCGATCAGTGTTAAGAAATCTCTCTCTCAGGAGGGAGAGAGAAAATTATATTCCTGTATATCGACTGGATTCTGTGACATCCGTTGTATGTCTTACTCCCACTTTGACAAATATAGAGATCGCCGTTCTAACATTCTAAGTTTCTCCACTAGTTGCTGTTAATAGATAAAAGTGACCTCTGTTCAATTATTCCAACAATTTTCTTGTGTAAAAATAAATAACACGAATGGTCTTACGCTGTATGCGTTTAAACGTCTTCTTCCATAATTTCTAAGTGATAATTTTGTCATCCGTGTCATTCTTAACAATTTGATAATCGCACCAACATTAAATTCAAAGCTGCTATTGGTTCTTTTAGTTCATAAAGCTTTAACCCACTGATCAAGTTTAAGTTCAAATACATTTTACAATTGAAAAGAATTTATTGAAGGTTATTGTTGATTAAATTTCTCATAAACTGGAATTGTCAGAAGTATCAATTTTGATGATAGTAAAATCCAAATTAGACATTTTAGGTATCATGATGTAATCACAAGAACACTAGAAACATTTTCTCATATTGTAGTTCATAGTAATAACGTTTATGATCTTGGATAAATAAACTGTCTGGAAAATATATAAATGAATAGTTTCTTAAATACTTATTGGCTTTTATTATTTAAATAAGAAAAATCGCTGTATAGATTTAGTACACTTATCTGGAATCTAGTATATAAGTGAGAGCGAAAGAAAAACGTCACATTATTAATAAATAGATAATACAATATATTTTAAAAGTTACATATATTAAATTTGGACTTTTCTTAATTTTCGTTTCACTCAAAGCATTAGATTTTAGCAGGAACAAACGTTCATTGTTCATTTACTTTTTCATATTCCATTTTTATTACAATGAACCATATGCGTTGAGGATAGTCATCCATCAGGTTTGTTTGTGAAATGGCTCATTGTGTAGTGTCGAAGTTTCTACCATATTCATTATATCTTCGCACTTCATTATTTAAGACAACAATATTAGATAATATATACTGAAAACATACGGATCGTCAACTTCATTTTAATAGTCCTCAAAGCTGACCGAATTTGACTAATCAAGATGCTAAAAAACAACTAGACAGAGTTTTATTTGCGCAACAAGGTGCTAAAAATATTGTTGTTTTCTCATTATATGTCAAACAGGATACTCAATCAAATTTTGGCAAAAAATACTAACCAGCTAAATACATCTACCTCAATCAAGTAAATTCAGACAGCTTACAATAAGTTCTTTACTGAGATGTTCGCCATACCTTTTAATTTAATATTGGTGCGTTTACATGTAAATTACTAACCAATTACTAAAGCGTCACAGATAATTATTTTATAGTGATAACTATTGTACTAACTAAATAATTTAAGCTATTTCATGTCGAAATCTGTGCATTCTATTTGCCCATCTAGATGATTTTGGAATCACTACCGAAAGCTCACCTTCACAAGGTACAACTGCTCAAAGATCAGGTGTGTTCTTCTCCAATGGATTTTTAATGTGTTTGAAATGCTAAGATATTATGAGTAATTTAATTACTTTGCGAATGGATGATAAATGTTAACTTCAAATAACTTTATAGTTAACTTTGATTTCTGAGAATATCATTATGCGTATAATATTCAACCATAATAAAGAATACTACTCTTTCTTACTTCTATGGTTTGCATTTAAAACCTTAGCTGATACTTTAAAAATCTATGCAAAAGTGTGGTTATTAGAAATTCTGGAATACTACAGTGCAGATTATTTGATTTTGAATAACTTATTCTTTGTGTTACCATTCCGTTTTTACCTCGAATAGATTTGACAACACTTTAAATATAAACTAAAAATTCAAAATAAGCTTGGTAAGAACTAATTATAAAGCGTGAATTCCCCCCAAGGCCTTCTTGTGACATACCCTAGGTTCAACAATCAAACTCCCAAGTCAAAATGCTTACGAGTATGAAATATTCGGTGAATCATGCAATCATCGTGTAAGAAAAGTGGTTCATCTCACATTCTTATCATAACAAACATTCTCGATGAATTTTGGTCCATAATTCACAATTCGCTAATGCTGTTTTCATTATATATATATATATATATATATATATATATATATATATATATATATATATCATTGTTGATTTCGATGAAATGAAAACACTTGATTACTTGCCACACACAATTCAATCGACCACTTTTCAATACAGTTAGGCAAATTTATTAATCATGATAAAACTTGGGTCATCATGCTCGTTCTTGGAAATCACTTTTAATTTATGCCAGTCATTTTATTCTTTTTTAACATTGCCATAAACCAGAATGACTCCTTAGATTTAGACATTTTTATGAGAAAGATAATCAAGAATGAATAATTCATCGTTCAGTCTCCGGTAACATTGTATGCGTAAATTTTTTATGATTCATTGGATGCTTCTTTACCATCTGTTTGTTTATATTTTAACAGCTTTCGTCTACACTGAATCGAATTATTCGTCTGGAACAATTCAATGAATTCTCATCAAGCTCATCACTTTTAAAGCAAAGATATCCATGTTGCAGTCAGGGTACAGAAGCTTCAACATGGATAAGTCGTGAAGATAATGCGTTGATTCTTAAGCTTTGTGGTAATTTACCTGACTGATTACATACATACTATACGCACTCATTTATTTTAAGTGTTGAACAAGGAGTACTTTGAAATGAAACTAAATTATGTTTCTCACTAAACATTCATTCTGAAAATCCCAAATGTAATTATTTTATTATGGTTCCTGCCAATTAAACATTCTGATGAAACAGTTACAAAATGTATGGAAAGTTTCAGTTAAATTGGTGGTCAACAGTGAAGAGTACTAGATGAGCATTGTCTAACTAGATTTTTATACAATTTGATACTTAATTGGTTTGTCGTTTCAAAGTTAAAATAGGTATTGTTATCATTATGGAAACACCACTGATTATACTTAAACACTTCAAAGGTCTAAATAAACAGAAAACAAACATTCTTCTTTAAACGTAGGCTTTATTAAACAGAATACAGAACTATGAAATTTTTAAAGCTCAAAAGCCTGAAAAACATATAGCCTTTCATAGTAATTTTCCATGAATCCACTACTATCTTACCTGTTAATATATTCGAACAAAGTATTTTTATGTTCTGGTATCTGTGTATTCGTTGCCGTATTTAACAAACAATAAAAACTATCTTTATTTCGAACTAATATATGTGTCTCACTAGTCAATAAGAATGACATAGAAATGTTTTGTTTTAAGAAACATGCATAATGAAAAAAATCAAAACAATTTTTATTGTTTATTGACATTCCATTTACTGTTTTATTAATTACTAAACAGAATCACTTTGGGATAAAGAAGCGAATCGTTTACAACATAAAGTTCTTAGATATGTAAGTTAACATTTTTCCTGCTTCCTTGATAAACAATTAACAGTTATATATATATATATATATATATATATATACCAAATAGAAAAGATATTGTCTACGAAGCCTCATATTAATGAGATTATAGTTGATTTAACTCATCAATCTCTTTTTCTGCAAACTAAGAATTTTTAAATTACAATGGTTTTGTTGCTAAATTTATATCATTAAATACTTCAAACTTATTTCTGATACTTTGAAGCCCTCTTGAGGATTAGAAGTGCTCCCTCTACTTTCTTCAAATTTTTTTCTAAACCGGTCAGTTTTAAAACATTTTTCTTGGTTTTATATGAGTTTTAGGTTATAGGAAATTTTAAAGTAGTTATTCAACAAAGTTGTGTAGTGTAATAAAACTGGAGTACCAGGAAATCAAACATCAATTGTTCTATATTTGTTATTTTTGTTAGCAGAAATTTTAAAGTTAAATAAATATAAGTGCTTTAATGAAATATTGGAGGTTTGCTTAATTCTTACTTAAGATATACATCAAATAAATGAATGCATATTTGTTTTTAGATAATGGAGCGTACAAATTCAGAAAATGGTTTTATCGTGATGCGAAATATCGACACTTCAGAGTTGGTTTGTCACGTGAGTATTTCCATTACTTTCAATCCCATCCAGTTTAGCTTAGAAGATTTAATTACTTAGCTAGTTTATTTGAAAAAAACTAGGTACTAACCTAATGTTTAGTTTTTCTTCACTTTTCTACTACATCCAAAACAATCTTATACATCGGTTGTTTAAAACTTACAGCAAGGAAAATAAAAACTTTACGATGAAAACCTCAGATGTGCTATTTCTGATTGATAGATGTTTCAGTTATTAAATTCACAAAATGTACTGAACTTTTACACAATACATATCCTTTATTCTTATTGACGTTAAACCAGAAACAAATGTTTTAATATAATTGTTCTTCCAATAACGGGTTTCATGTTTCATTACATATATATGAACATATCATTTGTTATTGATGTATGACAGCTTACGGATTATTGCAAGCCGTAATTGACAGAGTCAATCTATTAATATGAAGTTATATCCACACTTGGCATTCTACTACATGATCAAAGAAATCACTTATGAAATGAATATCCTCGATAATTGAAATTCTTTTCTCCTCATTAATAAACTCACGATTGTTTAAAATCTAAATACAAACGATACGGTCAATTTCATTGAGTGTAAGACTTTTAGTTTTTGAAAACAAACGTCAAAGTATTGAACGGTATTAATTATTCAGCCTACAGATTCAAATGAATAGCGTGTTTACTACACACTAAATCTTCCAACATAAGATTATCATGAATAAAATGAAATCAATCACATTTATATACTTAAAAAAGCACTTCGTAATTAATGCAATGAAATTTCCTTGACGATAGAATAACGTTTTAAGTAAATCGAACCAAATCATAAAAATAATGTGTTTGATACAAATATCCCAATACAGATAAGAAAAAAATGCATAAATAAATACTATTTCAGAAGATCAAATTAACTGTGCACCAGTACTTTGAAAGAGTCATATTAAAAAATAATATTACTCCATAGTTCAAGAACTGAAGATTAATAAAATCCATAAATTTCAAGATCTAATACACCGTATTTTGTCATTAGTAACTATTTTACTCGTAGATTGAGGTTCTTACTATTAAATATGATATAAAACATTTTTAACAATGAATTTGAATTGCCACTGTAGTGAACAAGAACGCAAGTGCTCATAACTGAATGTATTTGACCACAAATTACAGAACATCTCACTAAAATCTGAGAACCATACAGTAAATAGTTAAATTACAAATTATCAATCAATTGTCTCAAACTTAACTGTTCCTTTAGCAAATATCAGTCTATCGTTTCAGATTTCATTATTTATATATTTTCATACCAATTGCCCTTCGTTCTTGTCCTTTCGCTCTCGATCTTCCACTGAATTACATTCTATGTCTGACCGTTGTTATATACTAGTTATGTGGATATAAGTAGCCCACACCACAATACTACACTATATAAATTACTACAAAAATGTTTTGAATAATTTTCATTTTATTGATTTTTTACACTAAGTTTAACTGTAAAGCATGATCATTTTATGGGGCTGTTATAAAAAGTCTGTAATTTGATCATTATTCACAAGAGTGAAGCACTATTTCTTTTTATATTTATGTTAATGAACTCAAATAGTTAAGTTTTATGTAAAAAGAAAAGTTTTACTTCATTGTGTACATGCAATATATTTGATATCATTAATCTGATTACATGATTCAGCAATCTATGTGGTCTCATTTCATACTTCTTTATGTTTATCGATATATGATAGATGTGATCATAATTAATAATCAGAAAACCCTGACAGTTTTTTGCTACTTACAATAATAAAGTATCTAGTATTTTAGAAATTCTTCAACCAGTGGATTCTAAGCTAACGTGTGAAATTTCATCTATATTGGGTAGAAAATAACAAATTTGCCTGATAAAACTAAACATCAGTTTGATAAAGAGTAAGAAATAAATTAACAAGTAGTTATTGATTGAAAACGTCTATAAAGCGATAAAATAAAACAGTATACAAAAGGCTACTACAAGACTGAAGTGAAAATGGGACATATTTTGCAAAATTGTACTGAACTTTCAACTAAATATATGGTTAAGACAGATACTCATCATACGGTTTTACTTCTCCTAAACTTTAATTCCATGTTAATTAGTACTGTTTATACTCTCAATACTGTAACGTGCATCTAAAGAAACAATGAGAACATCTAAATTCTTAAATATACAATAATATATTTATTGCAAGATGATTGTCGATCATTTAAAGAAAAATGTAAACAAATTCAATTTTCAAAGCATAGGTTTGCTACAACAGGAAATGATTTTTTCATGTCACAGCATTCATATAAATAACACAAAATATAATCTCAGGTGTGAATGATTGTTAGGCGAGGCGAGATCGTGGATGCGCATTGCTAAGGAGTCCCATACTAGAACGAAACGGCCGTCCAGGGCTTCTAGCTTTTCCATAACGGTCTAGCTTCAACTGAATCATGAATTCGACTTTTAAAAATTACTGTAATATCCACAAAACCCCTCACTGAACTTAAGTAGTTATGTTATATTTAAAATTAGTTGACAATAAGAATTACATTTTGAATTAAATTTAAGCTATTGGTTTTAGAGTTAAACGATGATATGCTCATCACTATCACTAAATTGCATTTAATTTGAATGAAGTTAATCACTTTTACATATCCATCCTGCATAAACCTACCAAACATCTGTGGTTTTCAAATCAGGAATCAAACAATAACGCTAACTGACAAGTTAGTATTCATTCTCTTATTTCAAAGCATTTCTAAGCAACTAAATGATAGATTTAAGTTCCATTGGTCATTTTAACTTTTCCAAAGATGGAATATACTTATTTATTTATTGAATAGTTATTAAGTTTGGCTTACAACTGCTAATTTACAAAATAATTTCATTTTGTTTTACTACTTTATCATTTTTCAGTGTACTGGAAATGAAATATTCGATGAATCTACATATATTGAAGTAAGCATGGGTATTATTACATTATTTTGTATTTGTTTTAAAACACAGAAGAATAGGATATTAAAAATGGTAATTATGATGGATTTTAGTAAATTCAATGTATATTACATTTTCAAGATTGTTGAAACGGCGGTTAACCAATATGTTGAGGCAAATGTCCTCAATATCTGACTTTAATAAATAATATCCCGTAAACTGAGTATTTAAGGTAGGCTTAATCTCCTAGCAGAATTGCGGATTTACTCGAGATTATTGAGAAGCTTGAACACCAGTTATAGAGATAGTTTATTGTTAATGATTAATAAAAATCCACAAGCGTACGGTGAGCAAGCACACGATGAAACAGAGTGAGTGAGTGTGTTAAAAAATCCATATATATTTTTGAGAGTTAATCGGGTGTGGATAAATTATCGATTATCTGCACATTGCAACCAATAGGAGGATAGCTTAAGGGTTAATGTACAAACATGCATTCGATCATACACACCGAAAATAACATAGTGAATTAAGAGTCTGAGTTACAATGAATAGACAAATGATACAGTGGCCAAATGAGCTTGCCACAAGATCAATATACTCTAAAGTAAATCACATTATGAATTTTCTTGATTATTACTGACACAAATAAGTAATCATACCATACAGTTAGTTTCTTTGATGAACTTTTATAAAGAATAAGCGATAAACTTTATGTGATAAATTGAATTCCTTTCATTTTGTCCGCTCTATGTAGTTCATGTATAGATAGATTTGATAAATAAATGCAATTTGTTAATAATATGCATAAATTAATTTATTTCAGTGATAGGAAACAATTATAGATTGAACTTATATGAATCAAGGTGGGAAGTATTTGTAAATAACTTCATGAATGAATTCAATGAATTTATACATATTATAGATTGTTACATTTGTAAAATATTTTGCTTCCATACACAAATCACTGTGAAAAGATTTAGAGCAAATAAATTGAAATCAATTCACTCCATTTTTTTAATAGGTTGTTATATTTGCTTTACAAATAATAATAATAATACTATAATTTGAATCAACCTTGATCTAAAGTAACATTCCGTCTATCTCCAATTACACCTATTAATATATACATACACGTAAAACATTAATCTAATGAAGGAAATAGCCTAGTCGATGATAATTACGATTCACATTAGCAATTAAACATTTTCGATAGTCTGATAGTATCTATCTATGATAGTTGTGATCAGAAAATGAGGAAAGTCTTATTATTATTGTTATTATTATATAAACAAAGTTTAGTTGTGATATTGCCAAATTCCAATAATGTTTTTAGCCTTTGACTAACATCGACTGGAGTATGCATGAAAATAAAAAAAATTTAATTAGACAATTATTTCATTCTAGTGTTATTCATCGGTGTTTGGTATTACCAAATAAACTGGTTGCTGTAGTATAATATTAATGAATTTATGAATATGAACCTTGAATAAGAAGTTAGTGGAAATAATTGTTCGTTCAAACAGATTTTAACTAAAAATTCTGGGAGGGAATGAGTAAATAATAAATATGATTATAAAGAACGTTTGAACAACAATTATGGTATCTATGAAAGAACTAACTAATTTAAATAACCCCGAAAATCAGTAAAATCAACAAAATTAGTCCATAAACGTTATATAGCAGTATGTAATATGATGTCCGAGCAATCAAAATTTGAATAAGTTGTGAGGCAGAGATACGGAATTACTAAAATTAAACAGTTCGATACTGATTACATAATGAATAAAGTACTTTCTGACCATTCAGTGATAAACATCGTAAAAATGTTTTCTGAATACAAACACCATTGATTTCTCTCTACATTCTTATTGTTTCTTGTAAGTACATTTAAGCTTTGTCATAAAAACAAAAGTTTATTTAACAATACAAAATATTTTAAGGTTATATTTCAAAAATTTAATCAAAATGATTTAAAATCAATTAAATTATTTTTAAATGTTTCAAAGAAATGTTTACAACGCAATAATCCCATTGGTACTTAGTTATCTCATAGGATTTAGCTTTCGTAACATGATGCATAGTGTTATTACATTACTTTGACCTAAAATATTAAACAACTCATATATTACTGTCGAAGGCTATTACATATTGTAGTAAAAAATATGTTTACAAAAATAAACGAAACCATAGAGATGTAACATTTTTCCTAAAGAATATTGTCTATTCTACATAACTGGTTATCATCCAAACAAATATTGAGCTTGTATATGATAAACAGTTTATCTTATGTGTTTATCATATTTGCGCTATTTCGTACTCGTCAATAAGGTGTATCTGTAATCTTGAGGGAACTGATAATCCCTGATGGATTTGATCCTGTGTCACCCAGCTTCACAGTCAGATATGTCAACGATAGGCTATGCGGACCTCAAGATTGCAGGTACGCCTTGCTGACTGATGCCAAATAGCGCGAATCCTAGGTCCAGGGTTTTATGTAAACTACCTTCAACCTCCATCTTATCTCAACACAGTACACGCAATGTCGAGTCATCTAGACTAGTGGTCACACTGAAATTCGGTCGATAGCATTCGATCTGCACTAAGAAGGATCTGATTCACATGACATTGATCACCATCCAATGATCAATCAATTGAAAATAATCATTTTATTTTTGAAAAACTAATTTATTGTAATGACGATACAAAACGTATTAATTTTAAGAACATTTCTTCAATTGAAACTGACATGTATCATTCACTTATTATTTAAATGTTCAAGAAGATCTAATGTTATGTTCTACATCTTGAAAATATCTTTATTTTTATACTTTTGTCAATATTTTCTTTTGTAGAATGATAGTTTTTTTAATGAAATAATGCAATCAAGAAAAACATTTAAAGCATCACAATTAAATTTAGTAAGTTGAAATCGCTCATTAAAAATAAATACAATTTCATATTTTGTCTTTTAAAAGATAGAAATAGTTTGATATTTGCAATTTTATTTACCTGAACAAAGAAAAATAATAACTACGTAAATAATGAATAAAAAAATAATAAGAAAATCAATCTAACTAATCTAACTATTACATGAAACTCGAATATCATTAATTATTCTAAAAATTAAGATATTACATAATTGAGTGATTATCTGAACTCCCATTGTTAATTCTATATAATTAGAATGAAGAATTATTTCTACACGAGGATCCGAATTTCAAAAAAATTTTTATTCGTTTACTGATTAGTAACTTAGAATCAAAATTTATACAAATTTGATTCACTTAAAGAAATGATAGTAGTAAAATTGTAGTATCAATATTCAGAGACATTTACAAAATATAATATTCTATGATCAGTTGTAATATACGTTTTAGTAATTTATATTTACCATTAAAGCAGGACCAGACAACATTCCAGCAGAGGCACTAAAAGCAGACGTAGCGGAAAGTGCAAGGAGCATTCTTGAGGATTCCAAATTTACTATCATATTCACATTAAGTTTAATTAGTCTTTAATTATATTTGACATTTAACTACTTTTATACTATTTCTATGCAAACATACTCCATATTCTCTTCAATAAGATTTGGGATAAGGAACAAGTACCAACAGACTGGAAAGAAGGACTTCTGGTCAAAATACCAAAGAAAGGCGATCTCAGCAACTGTGATAACTACAGGGGCATCACTCTTCTCTCAATACCGGGAAAAGTCTTCAACAGGGTATTGTTAAACAGGATGAAGGACTGCGTAGACGCCCAACTTCGTGACCAACAGGCAGGATTCCGTAAGGATAGATCGTGTACAGACCAAATCGCAACTCTACGGATCATTGTGGAACAATCAATTGAATGGAATTCATCACTCTGCATCAACTTCATTGACTACGAAAACGCATTTGATAGCGTGGACAGAACAACACTATGGAAGTTTCTTCGACACTGCGGCGTGCCTCAGAAGATAGTCAATATCATACAAAATTCCTATGATGGATTAAACTGCAAAACCGTGCATGGAGGACAGTTGACAAAGTCGTTCGAGGTAAAGACCGGTGTCAGGCATGGTTGCTTACTCTCACCCTTTCTCTTTCTCCTGGTGATCGACTGGATCATGAAGACGTCAACGTCTGAAGGGAAGCACGGGATACAATGGACATCTAGGATGCAGTTGGATGATCTAGACTTCGCAGATGATCTGGCCCTTCTACCCCAAACGCAACAACAAATGCAGGAGAAGACGACCAGTGTGGCAGCAGCCTCAGCAGCAGTAGGTCTCAATATACACAAAGGGAAAAGCAGGATTCTTCGATACAACACAGCATGCACCAATCCAATCACAATTGACGGAGAAAATTTTGAAGATGTAAAAACCTTTACATATTTGGGCAGCATCAGTGATGAACATGGTGGGTCCGATGCAGATATGAAAGCACGGATCGGTAAAGCAAAAGCAGCATATTTACAACTGAGGAACATCTGGAATTCAAAGCAACTGTCAACCAACACCAAGGTCAGGATTTTCAATACAAATGTCAAGACAGTTCTATTGTATGGGGCAGAAACCTGGAGAACTACGAAAGCCATCATCCAGAAGATACAGGTGTTTATTAACAGTTGTCTACGCAAAAGACTTCGGATCCGTTGGCCGGACAGTATTAGCAACAACCAACTGTGGGAAAGAACAAACCAGATCCCAGCGGAGGAAGAAATTAGGAAGAAGCGCTGAAAGTGGGTAGGACACATATTGAGGAAAGCACCCAACTGTGTCACAAGACAAGCCCTCACATGAAATCCTGAAGGCCAAAGGAAAAAAGGAAGACAAAAGAACACATTACGCCGAGAAATGGAGATAGACATGAGAAAAATGAACAAGAATTGGATGCAACTAGAAAAGAAGGCCCAGGACAGAGTGGGTTGGAGAGTGCTGGTCTGCGCCCTATGTCCATTAGGAGTGACAGGCGTAAGTAAGTAAGTATTTACCATTAAAACTTACTGAACTCAATTTCCATTGAGTTATAACTAATTAGACTGTTAACCAGTAAATATAATGAGTATCTGTCAAGATTTTTGATACAAAACCCAAAATTACACTAGAATGCTGTTTTAAAATGTCAGTAATGTAAATTATATTAAAAAAAATAGTTTGGTTAAGAATGTTTGAGACCACTGAAATAAACATTTTCTGGTCTAATAGTAAACTATCATGGTTATGTAAAAAATTAGTAACTCGAACTTAATTACAATAAAGTTCAAACAATAAACCTTATGATTTAGTGTTCAAAAGTATGTTTATCCCACGGATTTGAATGCTTACTTTACTGTTATTCAGGTTAAAATTGATTTGCTTTACAACTTTTTTAAAATTTCTGTTAAAACTTCAGAGATCAATCAAAAGTTTTAGTGTTTCACTCAATAGGCATTGAGAATGATTACGCGGTGTATACCGTTTCCTTTACCAAAATACAATGTAAATGTTTTCAATGCACACCTTAGTATTTTATTTGTTTCATTGCTGATATCAAATGTATTTAAAGTAAATATTTTCACTGAAATCAAATATATATTCTCTGTGAACATAATTTTACAGGAAATGTTTTTTTTAATTTTTAGGAACAAGAACATACTTTATTATCTATTCTATCAGTTCGTAATGCATACATGAATAATGAGAATTATATAACTAATCAAAATACAGATATTCAAATTCATTCAGTTTTGTGCAGTCCAGTGTTTACTCGTTCTAGTGATAACCCTATTGCAGTTGTTTGTTTGATCAATAAAAGAAATTCTCAGTAAGTCTTAGCAATTATCTATAAATAAGAATGTATTTATAATTTTTTTCTATTAAAAACGTGTATACACTAAAGTAATCAGTATTATATACTTAAGAGTGGATATTGATTACAACGTTGATTGAGAATACTCTGTCAAGTCAATGTAAACCGTCCTACAGATATCGACCGAAATACGATTGATAATTTACATTGAACCGAATGATATTGATAGCGATATATGTTCCATAGTTTAAATATGTTTTATGCTCAGAAAGATGTACGATTTATTTCTGGGTTGAGAAAGTGGACATTTGCATGACTTCTGATTTTCTCATTAACCAAGTTATGCTTAAAATATTATTACTGAAAAATAAAATTACCGAAAAATCAATAATCCAGCAATCAACTTATCTTTCAGCGAGTCAATCTTGTTGTTAATGATTTCAATGTTTCCTGGATTTAAATTTTTTGGCATAAAATTTGATTTCAGTAAATTTATTCAAAAAAGTGAAGAATGATAAAACCTAGTTGGTCGGAATACATTATTTCAAAATATGGAGACTTTCGTAAAAACAAAAATAAAGCCTTTATCTATCACTAACTTTATACTCAGGTTTGGTATTCCAAAAGATATTATTACATACTTCAGTATCATAATTGCCAATATAGTTTTCTTAGATTACAATTCAGAAATCATTTCTGAATTCAAAAACACTGTATGACCGCAAAAGCTTTTTTTGAACTAAGAGTTAGACTGTCTCATAGATAATTTCTGTGGTTCAGAGCGTTTCAGAATAAAATCCTAGCAAATATTGCTTAAGCAATTAGGTTACTTTCAGACTGAGAGATTTATGGACATCCTTCATTGTGAACTGATTTTAATTAAACTACCATTACAAGGATCACTAAACAACTGTATTGTTCCGAATGTTTCGTTTTTGTGACTGCAAATTATGTTGAGTACATTGGGGGAGAACATTGATAACCTTGTCCTTGGCATTGGTCGTGTAACTGTCACTCACTTCTGATGGGTTATGAGAGATTTGGATAAGGTATAACTTGATCTACATAAAGGTGCACACATCAAATACTGACCGAAGCAATGGTTATTAGAATCAATCGAAGCAAGCAATTATAAGTCTTAAAAAAACTATTTAGAGGTTAATTTGTCCTGAATACAGACAAGGTTAGTATCAAAAGGGTTTCGTGGGTACAATTGATTCATGATCTCAACTACTAAAATTACTATAATATCCACAAAGTCCCTTCTGATACTAATAGACATATGCTCACTAGTGATTGGCTTCAAGAGGTATTTCCTGGAGTTCTAGTGAGAAGCAGTGACCAGTGGAGTTCAATCGGGTTTGTTGTGAGAAAGTAACTCACTGAAGAAAATGGTGGACAGTAACGCAATTTTGTGGATTGGTTGAATTTAGACATTAACACTATTGGATGCCGGCTCAGTGGTCTAGTGGTTAAGCGTTCGCACGCGAGACCGATATGTCCTGGGTTCGAATCTTGCGAGGCGTGATCGTGGATGCGCACTGATGAGGAGTCCCATTCTAGGACGAGACGGTCGTCCAGTGGTCCCAGGTTTTCTTTGGTGTTCTAGCTTCAATCGATTCATGATCTCAGCTACTAAAACTACAGACAAGATTCTACGAAATTAACAAAATTTTCTAACTGCTTTTTTTAACACATCAGTTATGCTCTTGCGATGTTTGATTTGCAATAAGCTCAAGCTTCTTACTCAAGATAAACACAGTTATCTACAGCCTGTTATATTTCATATTCAGAGACTAGTTATTTATCATGTGCAAACGATAAAGCTTCTATTTGTCTTTATTATTTACACAAACAAATTATTGAAAAAAACACGTTATGCAAATAAAACCGTTGACAAATGTCATCAGCAAGTTATTTATTTTTATAACAGTTAAATATATAAAATAAGAAGCTTCAGCAATAATTAGCTCACATCAACGAATGTAAAAAAAGGTCTATTTAAAAGTAAAAAGAATCATATATTATTGAAGGATATGTAATAGCTAAGCAAATTGACTTACCACCAAATATCAATATATAGTTTGTAAAGTATGTTTTATAAGCGTAGAATATAAAATCCAACCTAGGCATTAACAGATGGAATATGAATATTGAATATTATCATTGAGAAAATTGATGTAAATAATAAGTATATCAAATAGTTGATGATAATTATTTAATATATAATAAAACTGGGTTTAATCCAAAGTGTAGTGTATAAACATATATGAAGGAAGATCATTGTAAAACATAATTTAAATTGTCCTGATTGTTATTTCTACATTTTGAAAGGATTCAGGATCTGGATGATACCATAACTGAAGTTTTACAATAGAATAAACTAAATAAGTTTTATTTAAGGGGAATTCTGTTGAAGTATGCTTTATTCAAAACATCTCTTATTTATGTGCTAGTGATCTACTACTGGGAAATATGAAAAAATACACTGAATAATGCTTTCTATTCAATTTTTTTTCTTCTAGATTTACACAATCAGATGAGCGTATTATCGAAGAATGTTTTCGTTTTGTTGCACCTATCCTTTTAAGCTCATTGGCATATCAAAACGAACGTTACATAAGAGATAGAACTGAAGTAAGATCACTGTGGTTTAGTTCAAAAATTGTTTATCGATAGTTGTGTTAAAATGTATTTGCTTAAAAGCAGTTTGCTTTAAAGGAGAACTCAGAGTATTAAAAATATTTGACAACAAAAATTGTGATCAAAAAGGGAAAGCAATAAATGTTTGATTGAAATAAATTTTCGAATAACTTTCGTCTTATACGATAGAATACACTCATTAAACTAGAGAATATGAAACATGAAACTCCTCGTTAATGTCTCATATTAACTCGGCGCCCAAATATTGTGGAACTATTCGTTCAAATTTAGACGAAAGTTCTTATTTACATGAAACATTAGTTTAGTAAAGAGAAAACTTTTTAGAGAATCGTTTCAAAGAGGATGTTTAATCTCGACTACATACTTTTTACATTGACAATTCATTATGTATTTGTTGTTAATAATAATTTCATGAACACGGCAAGTGAGAACCAAGATTAACGGAAACAATAAAACGTTGGTGTTTTTGAAGACCTAAAACGTAGTTGTTAAAACATTGACAATCGATTATTAATATAATAGAATTTAGATAACTATTAATCACGACAACCAGTTTTGTAATATGATAAAATAAATTCTGAAATAACACGTAATTAGAAACGACATTTAAAATAGAAATAACATGGTCAAAGGTAAAAGATTAACAGAGTAAAACAAAAGGTGGAGTGGATGATTTGGAAAACCGAAGGATATAACTGTGGTAGAAGAAGTGTTTTTTGTTTGTTCATTCTTGTTTACTCCATTTGTATATATATATTTCTCCCAATGTGATTATTATTGACTATGATTCCAATAACTTTGTTTTTCAATCGTTAGCTTACTTCTCAGGCTTATAAATTCGTACATGTTATCATTTTGTTATAAATTCTTATATATATGTCCCTTATTAGATTAATATTTTTCATATTTGGATATAAATATAACTACATTTCACAGTAAGCCCTGATGAAGACCCAACTATAAACAAACATGTGTTATTCGTATTAACACTTTATGAACCTGAAACATTTGAATAAGTATTTATTATTTAAAGAAGTACATATATAGTGTTCAGCTATCAAAAATACAAACGTATCAAACTTACTATAATACTACAACTCAATTTTCTTCTGTACAACATTTTCGAATTACTGCAAGATGACAAATATAACACGTTGAAGATATTTAGCAGACTTAAAAGCCGTATGAAACGCATGGCTTCAGTTTCTAGATTGTCCATTATTAGAAAAGGAAAACAAAGTGTTAGATCTATTTATCACAAAGAATTATCTCATTATGATCTTAGAGTTGTTATACTTAATATTAGAAAGTACGATGATTGCTTAGAAAAAATTCCGATTTCACAAGAATGATAGTAAACGTGGTATCAAATCAAATGTTTTTAATGATTTCATGATAATATATGAAGCTAAAGAATCTCTAGCATTAAAGTATACAACAATTGAAGATGAGTAAACTCGGTATTGGAAGGATAGTTCTAACTACAATTTATCCAACTAAAATCATTTTTTTATTTATTCTATTTCTGTTACCAGGTAAACTAAAGAGTACAAATATCTTATTATTTATTTATTTAAACACATAAAAATTGGTACAAGGCAACACTAAGTAGATATGCGCCACACAAATCATTTGATTTATGTGAGGGCTTAAATACTACTCGGGCGCTCAAAACGAAACAGGTGACTTTCCTAGGGAATCACACATTAAGCTTTCGACTTAATGGTCTGATCCACAAGGCAGTGGAGCAACGTCAGGAGATGCAGTCCAACTGTAGCCGATGAACAACGATTGGTTCATATGCCATTTGTTCTTTCAGGATGCTGGAGCCCATGTGCACCATTGGTTCGGAATCAGGGTTTTCCAACTCCCCTAGGTGGACTCTCTATGTTCATCAACCCGGTGAAAGCTCCGGATACTCGCTTTTCGTCCTTTCATTTTCGTAAACAACACCCACGCGGCGAGAAGGCAGTAAGTAGGACTTCCCTATCAGTGTTTGTATGCATGTGGTCATGTGAGAGCATTTAGAGACAGAGAGCTGACTTTCCCCACTCTCGGCAGTACCAGGGCATTTGGGGGCTGTACAAATATCTAGCTGATCATCATTAACATACTTCTAACTTCTAGAAAATATTAATTCTTTCAAACAATCAACAATTGTTAACTTTATAATGATAATAATAATATTTTCGAAATTTCCATTTTCTCATATTTTCTTTAATATTTTGTATTTATAAAATAAATAACAAAAAAATCATTGAATTTAGGATATGCTTAAAGTTGCAAGAAATATTTTCACTCATATGATGGATTTAACAAATCTTTTATTGAAAATAATGCAAGAAGCTCAAAATTTAACCAAAGCTGAAAGGTTTGTTTCATTTATTTAGTTGTAGATTATTCAATAGTTAATTAATAAATTACTTTTTCTATAATCACCTATAAATATCACAATTTTTGTGGGGGGGGAGGGAAAATGAAATTTATGTGTAAATCGAATAGTTTAGTGTAGTAATATCAATTTTCGAAACTAGTAATTTCGATTTTTTTTTGGATGTTGATCACTTTCTTGTATCCTCATTCAGTTTTTCTGAGTTGTTATTTGACAACTAGATATGGATATAAAGTTGTGAAGTTTAGGAAAGAGTTATCTATCTTTCAATTATTACTGACATTCATTTAAACTAGTTATACTATAATTATATGCATTAAATGGATGTTCTAAAGATAAGTCGACTTCATTAAATTGTTTGGCGATATATTAGAGTTGGTGAGTTTTTGAAATTCATGAAGCAAGAATGCAAATAGTTCATTCTGGTAGATTGTAATTTACGAATCTAAATAAGTTCACTTCGGATTTAAGATAATAATTTGAGTTTTCATTAACTTAAAAATTAGAATTTATCAAAAAAAAACTGCTCACAGCTTTTGAATAACTCATCTCATTGCGCAGTCAACATTTGTACCTGGCTAAAACACCACTCTGTGACTAAAAACATTATCTACTTTGTATCGAATATCAAATTCAAATAATTTAATGTATGAGTTAAAATACTAGCAACAATAGTATTTGCTTTAAATGTTTTTTTCACACATTTGAGTGTTAGTGAAACTATCAAACAAAGTTAAACAATTTAATTATCTCTAACTGAAAATGTCATAAAGATTTCAAACTGATATTTCTCAAATTTTGCTTACAGTTAAAATCACGAGTCGATCTAAGCTAGACTATCATTGGAAACCTATGAGTACTGGACAGCCGTCTCATCCTAGTTTGACTCTTCAGCAGTGCACAATCACCATCCTGCATGTTTGACTAGAACAAAGAATCTTCAATATTGCACGTAAACTCTTAACCACTAGACCACTGAGCCAGTTTTCAACGGTGTTGATGTCTAACTTTAACCAATCCATGATCTTGCTCAACTTTTCATCCATTGTCGGAGGTAGATAACTTGCCCAAACACGACTTGTACTGAACTCCAATAGTCACGGAATGTCGCTAAAACTCCCGAAAATCCATCTTGAAGCTAGTCACTAATGAACGCGTGGGTGCATTTTGCTGAGGAGTCCCATACAGGACCGAAATGACCATTCAGTGCTTTCAGGTTTTCACTACTCCACTCGTAATTTCAACTGTGAAAATACTAAAATATTCACAAATCCCCACACTGATATAAATTTCGTTCAGTTTGTTGGTTATTACCATCATCACGTAAATACATTTGGAATTACTTTATAACTACTCTAATGTTTTTATTAAGTTATGTTTATTCATTGAATCAATTTAAACTGATTATTATGACAGTAACTGGAAGATGGTGCTGTCCATGATAAAGTCTAAGTGGTGAAGTCTTTTCATTTCTGCGGTTTGTTTACATAATTTACATCAACCTAAATATTAACTATGAATTGATGTTACCATATGATTTGAATAGTATTTACCACCAAATATTTTTTTAAAAAGTGGTGTATTTATTTCAGTTGAACTATTTTCATTCATTTTATGGATTAGATGCTCAGTTTTTTTGCTTGAATCAGAAACTAATGTATTAGTTGCAAAAGTATTAGATGGATTACCAACAGCTCCTAATAAAAATGTAAGTTTCATATCTTAATATAGTTGATTGTAGTACTTTTCACAAAATAACATGATAATCTAGATTTGAACAATTGCTGTATTATTAATAATTTTTTTCATGCTATTATTCTAACTAAATGAAATTGTATAATTTATACAACAATCATCTAAATAGCACCTAAATCATATTGAACCGGCTAACCAGTATATAATGTAATAACCATGTATCAGGGATGCTATAATACTACTGAAACACATTTTTTAAAATAATTTATGAACCCCTTGAAAGCAGCAGTTTATAGTTGTTAACAATATGAATATAATAATATATGAACTTAAATGGGAAACGAATGATATCTCTAGATGTTGCTTCCCTGTTCACCAATGTACCTTTAACTGAGACTATTAACTTTGAGTGTCAACAACTACTTGAAAAACAAATCAGTATTGGAATTCTCGAGGTTAGTCTCAAAGAATTACTTCTGAAATGTACAGTGAATGTTCGTTTTATCATTAATAACACATATTGGAGATAAATTGATGGTATAGCTTTGGGTACACCTCTAGGTCTTTTCCTTGCGGATTTTTTTTCTTGCGAAACTAGAAAATATATCTCTCAAAGATGTTATTGATAATAATAATTCGTTTACCGTCGATTAATTATGGGACATCACTAACAAAAATATCCATTTTTAAGCATTTGCAAAAAGTCACTGATCATTCGAGAGGTTGTACATTTTGACATTGCATAAATAGTCGAAACGATAACATTTGTCTTTCTTGAACAGTATGTTTATTTCTAAATATAAAATGTTGTTTTGTTGTAGAATTAGAGTTATTAAATCATAATTTAGATATCATTGTAATTCATTTGGTAAAAATTCCTGACTGATCATAGATTTCTAGACCCTATATTTCAAAAGCATACAACTTTCTTATAATTAATTTACGCTAATTATAGTGATAATCATTTACATCAAATAATTTATATTTTGGATGAGGGAATAATACTATAAAAGTTGATCTATCATATAGTTGACATTTACTTAATATATTATGCCATTTTCATTCTCTCTCGTTTTTTACTTAAGATGTGAAATATGAAGGTATTGTCATTTGAGCAGAAACTTTATATAGTTGATTGTATTACATAATACGTTTTTCTATTTTAATGATATGATTACAACTGTTCGAACTCAAGCAAACATTTTTTAACTACTTAATAGAAGTAATTTCGAGAATGTGAAGCAGTCTCAGTCAGCAATAGTACAACAAAAATGAATAATGATAACCAAATAAGAATATCTATTTTAGAATAACAATCCTTACTGTTTTAAGTAGTTAGCAATATGAATAAGATGAAATTACTCATAAATGGTTATAACAAACAAATCGATTTATTGATGAAGAGGAAAAATTAGGCGAATTGATTTTCAAGCGGAAATGAACGGTGGATAGCAGTGAAATTCAGGACTTGCGTTTCATCCTATTTTTGGATTAGTAAGCTGGATGTAACTGCATTCCAGAATTTGATATTCATTCTAAGACTCGAACCCAGTGTTGCTCGCTTCAAACGCTATCTCTGTATCCACTTATTTGTTGAGTCCAGATTGCCTTAGTCTTGTGTCACGAGGTGTATTTGGATTTTAATTCATATGTATTGGTTGTTTGGATCTCCTCATCGGTGTTAAGAACTAAAACTGATCAGTCTTTTTGGCAATACCAAGGTAATCCTCACAGGATGCACATACGCCGAAAGATGCTGTTCAATCGCAGTCCTAAATATCAATGAGAATATCCAATCAACCAATATATATGAATTAAAATTAAATTGATTATTATGAGAGTAATAACTACAATATATACTTATATATGTATGTCAATATTTAAGAAGTGAAGGATGAGCTAAACAAGAAAATTTCCCACTCATCTATGCAAACGTTAAGATAATTAGAATTTATTTTGAATACGATTATTAGATTAGAGATTGTTTATCCATAATCAACTCATTATTCTGAATAAATATACAAACTAAATATTTGCCATTTACTCCCAAGTAAGCTTACCGTAAGTGCAGTGTTTATTTCACATGATTTGATTATTCTAGGTTGCAATTTATGAGTCGCTATGATTCACTGGACAAACAAAAAATGTTTTTTCCTTATTATTTAGTTATAAAAAATACTTCAACTATCTTATATTCACTGTACCATCTGGAACTGTTCGAAAATAATAATAATAATAAACTAAATAAAACTACTTAAAAGTCAAGGAGAAAACCATATTGTTTCCAAGAAAATTATCTGACTATAGATTTAATATAATTCATCATTAAAAACATATTTCTCAATTATACCCTGACAAAAAAACATTCGTAAACAGAAAATTAATAGAAAATTATTACATTGTTTGCTTTATCTAGGAGATTCTGATAAGAATAAACAATATGTAAGGTATATCATATCACAAGAGGTATGATAGATTATAGACTATAAATTTTGTCAACATAGTAATAATTCTACATACATTTCATGAATTCGCATGAATGACATAAAAGAAGGATATTTTTCCCTGATAAGTCGAATGACATATAAAAGTATCCTAGTATAAGGATTTATAACCATTATTAAAATGTTCAATTATAGTCGACATGACATATATGGAACAAAACAGTTCAGACGGAATATTACAGTCTAGAGTTTTTTTTTAATTAAAACTCATATCAAAAACTATTTAGTTCAAATTTGCAAACTATTTTATTAGGGTTTATTTGATGAAATGTAACTGATACGAAATTAAGACATGATAAAAATTAACAAGCTTTCGAATCCCATGAGCGGGACCGTGAATGCGCACTGCTGAAAAGTCCCAGAAAAAGATCGAATGGCCGACCATTGCTTCCAGGTTTTCAATAGTAGCCTAACATCAGTCAGTTCATGATCTCAATCAATAACAAACCTTTATTCAATTCATCAGAATAATATCACTATGCATTTTTTTAGATTACAATAAATAATTTTTTACAGCTGATTTATTTTTTAACATTATATTCTACAATTTTATATAATTAGATTACATAAGAACTCCAAATTTCCGAAAACATCTTTAATGATTAATATACTTCCCGTTAAATGTCTAATATACAAACATTACATTTTCAGTGTTTTTATTTATAATCTAGATAAATGCTAGCATTTATGAAAATCACCATATTTTTGTCTATCGCTTCTGAAATAAGCCAATGTGTTTATATATGTACGCGCCATATAGTTTAGAAAGGTTTTGTTACATCACCTCTATATCTGTGTAAGTAATGGTTGAATTTCAGTCTACTACTATATTATTTAAGACACTAAAATAATCATTTAAATTATATTCTATGATGAGGAGTTCTTATCATATCATCGATGTATGAAAACGTTTTACTATATTTTGATTACTACAAGAAATTGAATTCATCATAGTTCAAAACACTTTTCGTATTAATAAAAATGAAGGTTAGTACGAAGGTTATCCATTTTAACATTTGTTGATTTGGAAATGTCATTCAAGCACTGAGTAAATCTGAACAAATATTTATTAGTAGTTAAATGCATGGATCAATGTAAGCTAGACTACCGTTGAAAACCTGGATGCAATGGATAGCCGTTTCGTTCTAGTATTTGACTCCTCAGCAGTGCATATCCACCATCTCGCATGCGAGCCTCGGACCCAGAAAGTTTGACCTAGCGAGTGAACGCTACTGAGCCGTAATGCAACGGTGTTTACGTCTAACTTGAATCGATCCATGATCTTATCCAACCATTCATTCATTGTCTGAGATAGGTACCTGTCTCTACCTGTGCTTCCAGATTTCCAATTGTGATCTAGCTTACATTGACTCATGAATTCAACTATTAAAATCACTACCATCTCCACAAACCCTCATTCTAAAATCTATATTACCTTTTTTTACACGTTTTAACAGACACGTTTTACAACAGCAGATGGCAAAACTGTTACAGTAAGTATTAATTTGATTGACCTGTATATATATGAATACATTCTTCTATAGAATAACGCTTTCTAGAAATTTGACAATATTTACTAGGCTGTTTTATGAACATCACAAACTAAAAGCAAGAATTCACTTAGTGATTTGTGCATTATTCAAATGGCTTCTAAAGTAACACTGAGCGAGTGCTGTTCATATTTTGTCTACTGTTTGTGCTTGGTAAATCTAGTAAGAAATTGGTATTGAAGCATTAGGCTGCTCAAAGTTAGAATAGTGATAATATATATATCTATATATTGGATTATAGAATAAACCTAAAAGTTATGATGGATCTACACTTTTCTTAACTTTAAAACCTTATCATCTATCATTTAAACTCTTCTTTATGGCGGGCAGACAACCAGGACAATGGCTAAATTAGGATATATTTGGTTAAATTAAAATTCAGAAATTATTTTATATTCAAATATTCTGACTGGTAGTGGATAGTAACCAATTATTGTTCAGTGAAATGTTGAGGTTAATTTTCACAGTTAGTATCAAATTTGTGCGTTTACTATCTTTTTATTTGGCTCAGAACGTTTATGGCTGCAATTCACTAGTTATAAAGTATCGTTAAGTGGCGAACCCAATTAGCACATCTTAAAATTTTACTTTAATGCTTTCTGATCAGCCAACATTCTTACCATCCAAGTTTTAACTTTTATTTGTTCTGTTGCGATTTTTAAGATTACTATTTGAAAAGTGTAGTTCAGTCACATTTTGAGAGTATTCCTATTGAATATCAGTTACTTCATTTATTTAAGTCTACTATCTCAAACAACCTAACATCTTCACATTGTGGGCTTCATGTCAAATCAATAAGGCCAATGACATTGTTATTATTCAGCAATCAACCAATCATACATGTGGTCAACCGGGATCTAAGTAACTCAGTGGTTACCTCATCATTACAGCTAGACTTGCTGACAAGCCTGAAATGTCAGTTCAAGATTTTCTGTAGACTATTATCAACCACCTGACATTAGTGTCTCTAATGAAATACATTAAGTTCTAAGCTTCTCGGTAAGTTTCATATCTTCGTATTTGCATCCCTCATGAGTATCTACGCAATCGACAGATAATTAGTTACCCTGAACTATGTTGAATTATTTAAGGAGAATCAGATCTGCAAGATTTGTCTGAAAGTCTCGATGTTAATACAATCAAATATTAAAAATAAACAAATTAGATTACTCATACTGAAAGACAATCAAATTCATTTTGATTTATCACTATAGATTTTTATTTGTTGTTTGAAAAGCACTTTCATTAAAATATTCATATTTTTAACATTTTGATTTTCATCTCATTAAAAAATATCTTGGATACATCATTTTCAATCAAGTGATACAGTACGTTTCTTCGTTTATGAAATTAAGACTTGCTTTGTCAACTTTAAGATTAGTAGCAGTGATGCTAAATATTAAAAAAAAATCTACTAAAAAACTGAATACTTTAAAAGAAATCACAAATTTTGAACGATCCTAATATGAACTTTCTCAAACTGTTAATATAAAGATACTTGAAATTAGTGAAACACTAAGCACTAGATTGATGATTAATCTACTTTATAGTATGACTCCTACATACTTTTTAAATTTTAACCAATATGAAGTTTTTCAATGTTATAATTGATTTACATAATTATTAATTTTGTGTTTTATAGTTACCAGAAGAAATTCGACTAAGTTTAAATCAAGGCATCGCTGGATATGTAGCTACAACCGGTAAATGGTTGTCTTTTTATCTATCTATCTATCTATCTTTATATATATATATATATATATATATATATATATATATATATATATATCAGAAAGGGCTTTTGTGGATATTTCAGTAGTTGAGATCATGAACCTATTGATGTTAGACTACCATCGAAAATCTGAAGACACTGGACGGCCGTTTCGTCCTATCGCGGGGCTCCTCAGCAGTGCATATCCACGATCCCGCATCGCAAGATTCGAACCAAAATAGGACGAAACGACCGTCTAGTGCTTCCAGGTTTTCCATGGTAGTTTAGATTCAATTGACTTATGATCTCAACTGTTGAAACATATGTATTTATATTATTAACTTTCTACCCATTGCTTAATTTATTTGGAACTATCAAGTCTAGTGTCGGCAATGATATCGATAAATAACTTTTATTTAACTTATTGATTGAATTCAATGAAAATTTTTTCGTCTTTGCAAAAATTGAGCCGAATGAATTTTTTCAATACCATATTAACAATACAAATTCAGTTGTTGTTAATATCTTCATTCTATATTGCAACGTTATATACTAAATACTTTCGAGTAAATTGGTTATTTGATATTTGAAAGTAAAACTGTATATCCGTAAAACGGATTCTTTATGATACGATTCATAGTTTTTAATTATTATAATAAAAGATAGAAATTAATTCCTGACATGTTGAGATTTCATAAATGTCAATTATTCAAATAATAAACAAATATTCAAACAATTTAATTAACGAATTAGGTCAAGTGGTAACAGAATTTTCATCCAAATTATAGTATAGTATGTTATAAAATATAATATGATTTTACCATATAAATATGTTTGCTTGTATTGATGAGACTATTGATAGGTTATATAGTAGTTATTTGTAATTTTATAGAGTTTAGTTAGAATACTTCATACTCGGACAGATTGCTCAGTTTTAATGGAAAAGTGAATAATAATAATAATAGTAATATATTGAGATTTAGATGGTGGTTGGAGGTAGTCAACAGGAAATCCTGGACTCGGGTTTCGTGCTACTTGGCACTCGTCAGCAAGGTGTACCTGTAGTATTGAGGTAACTGGTGCTCCCTAGCGGATTCGATCTCGCGTCACCCAGCTTCACAGTCAGAGACGTTACCACTGAGCTATCCGAGCCGCGACTGACCTCCTGTAGGACTGAGATGTAATCACAACTGATTGATCACTAGGTGGTGATCAATGTCATAATAATAATAATACGGACATTGTTCGCGAACAGATAGATTTCCTAATTATCTATCAATTTATCCGTACATATCGTACTATATTTAATTTATCTTCATTTTAGGTGAATTGTTAAATATAAAGGATGCCTATGCTCATCCACTTTTTTATCGTGGTGTTGATAAAGAAACTGGATTTCGTACAAGGTTAGTTTGTAAGAGATTTTCTTATTCGCATCTTTACTTTTTTTCCAGATTTGAAAAAAATCTGTGTTCGTTTGTTTTACTTTTACTAGACTTTAAAATTTAAGACGAAAACCTCATATAAAAGAAACTATTTATTAATTTTTTGATTGAGATCATGAACCGATTGATGTTAGACCACCACAATTGAAAACCTGGAAGCACTGGACGGCCGCTTCGTCCCATTGTGGGACTCCTCAACAGTGCGCATCCACGATCCCGCTCGCGGGACTCGAACCCAGGGCCTTCGATCTGGCGCGCGAACGCTTAACCAACTGCACCACTGAGCCGGCATCCAATGGTGATACTTTCTAACATCAACCAATCCACGAAATTGCGGGACCAGCTTCCGTTGTTCTGAGGTAGATACCTGTCTCTACCCGACAAGGATTTGCTCCACTGGTCACGGCTTCTCACTAGAACTCCGAGAATTCCCTCACGAAGCTAGTCTCAATCAAAAACTTAATAATCTCCACAACCCCTATACTAGAAATCAACATGTGCTCACTAGTGACTAGCTATCTATCCTTAAAACACAAAACAATTATATTCATTATAGTAACTAGAAGTAGATACTCATTGAACAAAGCCAAGTGTTTCAGTAGTTGAGATCATGAGTCAGTTGAAGCTAGACCATCATGGAAAACCTGAAAGCATTAAACGGCTGTTTCGTCCTATTGTGAAACTTCTCAGCAGTGCGCATCCACAATCCCGCCTGGCAAGTTACGAACCTAAGATCTATCCAATTGTTTTCAATTCGACTATAAGTGCTATGTGATAAGGTATCTCTTGAAATATCAGATCAACTTCAATGAATTATTTTGATCTTTTTTCTTGAAGAATAAAAATATTTGTTTTTGAGAATATGTGTTTCATCCTTTGTGAAAATTATTTTTCTAACGATTCATATTCATTTAAACACTCAAAAAGCATAATATTTATTTACTGGTTTGACAAGTTGATATGACTCAGTCATGTGGTAAATAATTATCTGTTCATACAATCATTCCTTCAATTTGCTTTACTCTGCTCATTTCATCTTTAGAACCATATCGTAATCAAAGCGAATGTCATTAAAATGAGTTTTATTTGTTGCTCACGAAACAAAATAATTTACTGATATTAATTGCAATAACTTGCCTATGGTATTTAAAGTTTCATCTAAATGAAATATGTACAAAAATAATTTTTTGTTAGAAATACGAAATAAAACATGTACTACTTAAATGAAACTTATTGTTTGAGTAGGTCGAAACGACCGTCCAGTGCTTCCAGGTTTTTTCATGATGATCTAGTTTCAATTAGTCCATGATCTCAACTATTATAGTAAAAAAATGTTTTATTGATTTCAGTAAGTATTATTCTTGAAAATTTCTTAACTATGATGTAATAACTCATTTCCTGTCAGTTAACATATTTGAGAGAAAATGATATAGTTTTAGAAACTATATTATACGTTTAAGTTAACATACCATAATTTGTCTCTAAGGTCAATTCGATAAAACTTGAAATGATTTTATAACTGTATATTATAGAAGTTTCTGTCTACAAAGTTAATGAAGATAGAAAGAAGTTATATCAAAATAAAAAGAACGGAACTTTTAAAGTACATCAATTTTACCGATATTTACAAAGGATCATTTTGAGTACATCTCATTTTAATAATGATAATAATAATTATTATTATTGTTATCATATACCTCACTATACGAACAAATTTATTTTATTTAGGAATATATTGTGTTTTCCAATAAAAAATGAAAAAGATGGTATAGTTGGTGTTGCACAATTATGCAATAAAATCAATCATCCTTTTTTCACAAGAGCTGATGAAGATGTAGCTAAAACATTTTCAATTTATTGCTGCATAAGTATAGTACATGTAAGTATAGACTAAATTTTAAAAAATGATATATATATATATACATTTAGAGATAAGTATTTAAAACCTGAACATGCTAATGAGGATTATTGTATGTTGATAAAATTCACTTATAAGGCTGATTATTTCTGTTTCATGTAATGAAAAACTTGGTGTACTTTATCGTTATGCAATGTATATTACAGTTAAGTTCATGAAATCAAATTAGGTAATAACTTTAGCATTACATTTTCCAAATATTTTTTTACAGGTAAGTATCAAAGCTTTGCTTCAACTTCAATACCATAAAAAGCTTCTAAAATTTAAGTGAAACGGAAAACTCGATATTAAGAGATATTAAGCCAAATATTAAATTTAATAGTGAAATTTTATTTTTTCAGAATATTGCTCCTTCTAATCAGTAAGAATATTGGCAAACATGCAATTGACCCATTTTATGAATTTGAACATGATGAATTTGACATATGCTATTTGTAAAACTTGGTCTATATTTTAAGTGACTAATTTCATAAGATTATAATCTATTCTACAATAAAGTTCCAGATAGTGTTTTTAAATGAGACTGTCTTCATGTGGTGTTTTAAAGGTCTTTTAAGTGCGTTTTAAGTTACTAGACTGACAAACTGATTATCTATTCAGAAATTCTTAGTGACTGTAACGTATAAGTGATTTTTTGGGATTAAATGCATTCACAGCGGGATCAGATTTATAATATGCGGTCTCTATGAGTTGTCATAACTTCTATTCAGACCATAAAGTCATAAAATCAATGTGTATTGTAACGAGGAAAATATCTAAATTCCACATACAGAGGAAAGGCAATTAAATAATTCTTACATTTAACATGTAAAACGCGAGTTTGATTTAATTCCTATCCAATGTATCAAGTACCTTTTACAACCACTAAAATTTGATGATCTCATTTGCTTTCAGCAAACGATTAATTCCGTTTAATACAAACAACTGTTTGACTTTCACGGTAAAGATAACCGATTTCATGTTGATTACTTGTCGATGGCAAACATTCTGTATAATTGAGATTTTAAATGTTGAAGCTGACGACTCACATGTGTTGGAAAATGAAACGAAACTTTTACATCAATAAATCTTTATGTTTTGTAACCAGTCACTAATCAATTTTACTAAAAATTCTCTTATTTGTGAGGAGCAAACGACTAAGCTGTTCCTTATAGACAGTATCGAGGGAGAAACAAAAACCAATGTAAAACTAAATGCTTAAATAATCAAGAATTCTCTTCATGACATTTCTCTAAACATGTTTTACTTACTTTTCAGTCGTTAATGTACAAAAATGTTCAAGATGCACAACACCGTACTAAATTGGCCAATGAACTTATGATGTACCACATGAAGGTAAACATAAAATTGCGTAATGCATTTATTTTTTACAAAATGTACAAAGCATTTAAAGTGAATAATATGATTATCCTTTATTAATTTGTTATCAGCGCAACAAATTTAAATACTGAGACTTCATTTAACTTGTTATGATAACTAAATGATATTATTTAGATGGTTAATTGATTTAGCAGATAAGATGAGTACATGTAATGTAGTTTAATTGGCCTGGTTTACTGAGAAGTTAAGTTATATATATATATATATATATATATATATATATATATATATATATTTTAAAGCGATTCCGACTTGTAAAGAAAAAAATAGATATATTAACGCTTGCCATAAGTGTGATTAGGAAATTCGTCCGAAACCCATTTTCCATTAATTCTAACGCCTTGATAAAGTTAAACTTTTTCCTAAATCAAGTACGCAACTAAGTATTAAAATGAAAGTAGAACGTCTAAACTATACAAAGAAGTAAACACTGAATTATCGTGTAAGTATAAAATCGGCACATCATTTTGTTGTTGTCATATTTAGACAATACATCATATGAGAGATTGGATAGAGTTGATCCGCTTGATATTTTGATAGAACAAAAACAAAATAATTCTAAAACTTAAATGCATTGTTTCAACCTCTGCTGTTGAGTCTACATGAAAACTAAATGCTCGACTGAAACTCAAGCATATATAATATAACAAAACAAGCACAAGTCAGTTAAAAGAGAATTTAATTTTTAATTGAATAAGAAAGTTTCCAGTATTCAGAGATGAAAATCACCTGATTACTTCCTTTCAAAAGTCGGAGAAAATGATTGAGTAAATATACTTTTTGGTGCTTAGTACCTAATGGATTTCATATAACTTCTGCTTTGGATTGTAGTAAAAATGACAGTGAGTAATCTTGGTGACAAGAATAATCATATACTCATTTACTCAAAAGTTAACACAGAAGCATTCAAACTCACATAGTAATATGAGTGTAAATGGCACACTTTAGGAAAGGAGGTTAAAATTGTATCTAGGGGAATTTTTAGCGATTTAAATTCCTATACATTTGAATGACGTGTTGCCTGTATCATCAGACTAAGTCAGTTGACAGTGTCAGAAATGTGGTTCAAACAGGTCTTACAATATCTTGCTGAAAATACCTTGGTTTTCATTTTAAGCCACCTGTTTTATTTCAAAATGATTGAAATAATCGAATTACGATACTATATTTTCAAACTGTTATTCAGAAAATCTCTTTCCATTAGTTCATTATATCTTAATAACATATCGTTTGAACGAACGTATTAAATTTCAGCAAAATAGAAAAGTAATCGCTTATGGAGTCAAGCTAGTATTTATCCCCTACCAACATTTTTAAAGTGATCCCTTTCAATTAACTGAGAAAAGCTCACTCAATTTAAGATCACATGAGATGGTTGTCGAAATTTGAAAGGCTGAAATAATAGGGAAAATGACATGTGTATAGATTGAATTAATTCAAAATACACTATCTCACTTTACATCGATGGTCATACCCTAATTATTTGTTCATAACATACATGTCTTAGCAACCAGTGAGATAAATCTTGTTTTTATTCTATCTGGTTTGTATGGAAAGGCGTTATTCTCGATCTGTTACATACAGTTGTAAAGGCTTTGTATGCACAATTTTCTAATATAATGGATACTTTTCACTAGGGAATTTAGAAAAATGTTTCATACTTCCTAGAATTTGATATATCAGTAAAATTTAGTTATCGTTCAAAATGGTTTTAGAAAACTTAGATCGTCAATAACCGATGAAAGAGCATGATTGTATTTTTTTCTTCGACTAGGTGGATGAAGACAGAAAGAATTGGTTATCCACTTGTGAAATTAAAGATATCAATACATTTCTACCTAATACAAGTTCTTTTGAATCTTTACCAAGAAATATTCAACCTGAAAATGAGACGTATCTCGTAAGTGATTTAAATTTCAAAAATATAGCAGATTAATGTTGATTACAATGTATGTATGTAACTATGTAAGAAATCATCGGACTGCTGTATTCTGTAGTTCATGATTGCGACCATTTGACTATGAAACTCTTTAATATCTTAACAACTTCAAGTGTTCATATATTCATTATTATTGTTTGTTTACTAAATATTCATGTCAAGTAGTGTCTATATTTTCATAACTACTTTCCAACAGCGTAATATAAATTTTTCATATTGTCCTCAATAACATACTCTTAGGAAACTACTTTTCTGTCGAATCTATGGTTTTTTTAATCTATTGTCAATGTAAACTGGATTTTCTACAAAAACTTCATCACTAAGATGAATATTTTAATACTTTTAAGGAAAAATTCCGCAGCAACTTGGAGTTTACTCATGTACTTAAATATATCCAATTTTATAACTTGTTACTCTAATTTACAGATGATGTCATATCATATACAGTCCGGATCCTAAGTAAATGAGATGGCCGTCATATTTTGTGACACATGGATTCTTTCATTATTCTATCATATGGATTACCGTTTATTTTGAATGCTTTTACTATAGAGTGTGAATAGTCATAAGTTCTCAAATGAGGTTAATCTGAAATAAAAAAAACGTTTCATTATAAAAATATAATTCCGTATAGCATGTATAAATCTTATGTTACAATTTATTGCACATTCGCTTAATAACAAAAATGCAAGATGTGATATAAAAGAAATAATCTCTACTGTAGAAATATGAATTTTCAAGGTGAAAGTGTATTTACTGTCTTGAATAGATACCTATCATTTGGGTCACATATTCGTATAAGCTGAATTAGAAGCAACGATAAAACTGAAAAGGAACATTAAAGTTACCCTAACATAACTTTTGAGCAACCATGAGAGAGTATTATACCTTTTAAACATGTAACTTTGCATTATAAAATACCATAGAATTAGAGTTTGCTAACAGCTCAAAGAGAAACTATTGTTATCTTGACTTGATTATTAATTATTATCTAACGATTCAGTGTTTTACTGATTTTGTTTTGACTTAAAAACTGTGAAATGCACATAATGATATATTCGTTATTTCATTAAATCATCTATGAAAAATTAAAAAGCCTTAATATATAGGTTTCTGCTTAGATATCATTTGTAAAAGTAATTAGAATTTACCCTTGAATACTTCCACCCCATTTATTACAATTCATTCCAATTATGTTTTAATCAAAATTCATTGTTGTTATTTTTCTACTGACGATATCAAGAACTCCATATGATCCATATGATTTGAGTAGATTCCGTAATATTGCCTTAAGCTACAAGATGATCAGACTATACTACATTCTTCACTAAACCTGATGAATAAACCAGTCTCCATTGAATAGTTTAGTACCATACTAGAACCGTAGTGTAAATGCTCACACAATGGTCTAAGTACATCATGCCGAACATTTCCAAAAGGGGACGAAACGTACTGTCTGAATTCTATTGTGATATACAGATTGAATTTGAATATTAGTTTTATTTGTTCGGTTCATTTATTAATGGTAATCAAGTCAAATCTAATATATTCGTAAATTATGATGAAGATACTTATAAATAATTTGGTTTTCAAGTCTATTTACAACCCTATAATTATAATAATTTTGATCAGAATAAAAGTTGACAAATTATATATCTTCAATCTTTCATCATATACTTGTTGCGAGTATTGCTAACCTCGTAAAATTCGACTGAAAAATTATCAAAAATATAAATGATTATTATCAGAAGGGGTTTTATGGAGATCTTAGTAATTTTATAGTCGAATTAATGAGTCAATTGAAGTTAGATCGCCATGGAGAACCTAAAAGTGGATTGGTTGGAGTTAGATATTAACACCGTTGGATCCCGGCTCAGTTGTCTAGAGGTTAAGCGTTCGCGTGCGAGACCTATAAGTTCCGGGTCCGAATCTCTCAGGCCAAGATCATGGATGCGCACTGCTGAGGAGTCTCATACTAGTATGAAACTACCGTCCAGTGCTTCCAGGTTTTCCATGGTGGTCCAGCTTCAATTGACTCGTGAATTCAACCATAAAATATAAATGATTCGTTAAAAATTAGAAGTCACGAAAAAAAGAACATTGAGACCAACTTTATTTCAAGTTGTTCTTTCAATCGAAGCAAAATATTTCAAGTACACACATTTTGAAGAACATTCCACTCAGTGATATTTATTTAATCCCTTTTTATCACTAATATACGCAATTAAAATCAGATTGCTAGAAGAGGTAAATTTCATATTTTAGACATTCTGATGTGATTTAAAGTCAGTTTGTACAGATATAATTGATGGGATGAATTGAAAAAAAAACATAAGTAACAAATGTCTGTTTATATATTTATGATGCATTTAAAAATTTATGTACACAATGTACCTACGTGTTATTTGAAACTCTAAGATACTTATAATCGTATTCTTCTCAACTTAAGTGGGCTGAGTAAAAAAACCTTAATTTGTATAGAGATTATCACTGTTGAGAAATCGAAAGTGATTTACAGTGGTGTATAAATGTACAAAAGCAATAAAAAATATTCAAGATTCCCATCAATTATGTACCTGTTTCAGCATGGACACTGAACTTGGTAAACATGATCATGTTGTTTGTTGTTTTCTGTTAGAGATATTGTGAATTACGTTTACATAAGAGTTCAAGCATCAAACTAAACTCTTGAATTAATCTTCCAGTAATTTCAAAAAATCTCAGATAGTTTGCTTATCTCCGTCTTAGTATGAAACTATATCCCAGTGTTTTAGTGTTTATGTTAACTATTTACTTTAAAGTAGAGAATTTTGCGCTTTCATTTCATTCAAATATTATTTGTTCTTTAATCAGTGTAATAATGAATTTTTGGTAACTTTACACTTTAGTTTGTTTCAAACCACTTAATTCAACAAACGTCCTTAGTTTCTTTGACAAACACTTTCGATTAAACTCACTGACTTGACGGTTTCTCAGATAGGCATCATAGAAACTTCCTTACCAACTTATTATTATTAATTTTGTCACCACAGTTTAACACCAAACCGCGTTATTAAAACATCTGTTCGTTAACACTTTATCTCAGCTTTATTTCTTATCGTAAAATTACAATAAGCAATTTTAATCAAATTATATTCATCAGGTTTACAAATAACATTCAACAGATGTGATTATTTTTTTTATCGTATTACGATGTATTTGCTTTGTTAAACTATTGAAGTTATTCAGATGGATCTATAAGCATAGTTCTTAAATTGGAATCAATAATACGTTCAGGAGAAAACAATAAGTCAGTGAAACTGTGCCCCAATATTTTCATTTGATTAACATTTTTTTATGTACAATGTTACAGCAAAGATTTTAATAAAATTCTTCGCATAAAATGCATCTACGAATAAGCTTTAAAGTTTCAGGCAAAAATAAATTGAATCATTTGTACATCATCTGTACTTGTTTTTATTTAACATCAGATGAGTGTAATAAATAAATCGAATGCTTATTCAGTTAGCTAGTCTCTTTATTGATTCATTTAATCCTCACTGTTACAAGCTTATAGAAGTATTGCTAAAAACATTTTCATTTACTAGAGGATAGATTAATTGAGAAACATAAAATTTATTGTGTTTTGTTTCCCTAATTATTCATAGTGTACATTAAGCATGTTTCATAATTTGAATTTAATTAATCGTTGGCGTATTTCACGGAGAACACTGGCTCAATTCATCCTGATGGTTCGTCGTGGTTACCGTACTCCAGCTTATCATAATTGGATGCATGCATTTTCTGTTGCACATTTTGTTTATGTCTGTATTAAAAATTTACCATTAGCTAATAATCAATTGGATGATATTGAAATATTGGCATTATTTGTAGCATCATTATGTCATGATATCGACCATCGTGGAACGAACAACAGTTTTCAGGTAATTAAATGCGTTTAATTATTGTCTTTCTTTTTAGATTGAAACTAAAAATGATTATTGTTCCTATCAGAAAAATCAAGATAATCAATTTGTTTTTGATACTGAATTTATGAATACAATAATACTTAAAATTAGTTTATTTCTTACCAGCTTATAAATCTCCTAACGATTGTGTTTTGTTTATTTGCTACCGATCTCAAACTTTTGACAAACATTTGTAAAATAAATAGAGCTCAAAAATCTATGAACGATATTTCTGTCGGTGATCAATTTCCCTTATTACTGAGTAGGATGTCATACTGATAAATTGATTATAATAATTTCAATTAAACCAAATAATTACTTAAATCCTCTACAAAGCTGACATGATTTACATTGATGTTACTGACTGAATATAATTTCAGACTCATTTCTTCTAAAACTCTTTGAAATCTATACTTATTCAAACCAATTTTTCAACTGTATATCAAACAATCTTAATTAAATACTAATTACATAAAACAAATGTAGAAGGAAAAATATGAATGTATATTATTCAGATAATAAAAAATAACCCATTGCATTGCTGAATAAAAATAAGAATTCAGCGAGGAAAATTCTCTTTTCGACAAAATCATTTACTTCAACTGTACATTCGTATTTATAGTTATATGGAAAATATATGTCAATAGAAGGATAGAAAACATTGGAGGATAAACTGATTCGAGACTCTTATTATCAAATAAGGTTACGCAATAATCAAGAGGTAAGAAAAGAATATAAGGATTGAAAATGATTTACGGGTCAGATAATTGTTCAATTGACAGATATGAAGAAAAACAACAAACATAAAGGTCATAATAGTAAAAACTGAATAATCATCAAGAAAACTTGTTTGACAGTAGTAATAATAACTGATTACAGTGTAAAATTACCAAACACTAATTAAAAAATCAATAATAATAATAATATGAATAAAAACGAGAAAAAAGCCGGAACATACTACTGAAGGATATTAGGGCCAAGGAAGGATGAGAGATTGTACGAATCGTTTTTGCACGAGAAGTTCGGGCTTGAGTTGGTGAATTGCCCTACCTGAGTTTTGTGATGATGATGTCGTTCAGAAGAATGATGAAAGCTCCACAACCAAACCATCCAACTCAGAGGACAAAACTCCATCAAAATTTACTGTTAATAATGACTTTTGTGTTTGTCATTTTTCTTCCTATCTGTCGATTGAACAATTATCTGGCCCGTAAATCATTTTCAATCCTTATATTCTTTCCTTACCTCTTGATTATTGCGTAACCTTATTTGATAATAAGAGTCTCGAATCAGTTTATCCTCCAATGTTTTCTATCCTTCTACTGACATATATTTTCCATATAACTATAAATACGAATGTACAGTTGAAGTAAATGATTTTGTCGAAAAGAGAGTTTTCCTCGCTGAATTCTCTTTATGAACATTATTCAGTTATTTCTGTGACATTTTGGTACCCTGATTAGCTTACTGAAGAAGTGAATATGTAATTAGACAAATACATTTTTAGCTACATTTCTTATCATATTTTATAGTCATCCGTAAATAAATTTAGAATAAAACTGTCAGTTTCATCGTAACCATCTTCAAAGTACATTGATGAATGAATAATTATTGAAAGCATTTTTTACCGAGTGCCAAATTGTTTCCGATAAAGTTGAGTAGTCAGAAATAGTGTAGTGATTGAATGATGTTCAAGTGGGTTATATAAGTGTTTACTATGGTAAACAGTGTTTATTTAAAGTAACATTGTTTAACCAAATTAACTTGCATTTATTTGTAAAACACAACACTTTAGTGACGACAATTTATTAAATTTCAGTTGAGCACATTTGTAAATTGTTTAGGAAACATTTTATTATTGTAAAAAACATATTCATCACAATATTGAAGAGTATAATGAAAAGGAGTTCAAGCTAACAAACCAATTCTTTGTTCACAGAAAAGAGTTTGTAATAAACTTAACTTTTCTATGGCAAGAGGAAACTTAATGGGTAATTACACTAATTCAATATAATAATTGAATCATAAACTGCCCTGATTGATATATATATTTCTCATATATAAGTACATAAATATCAATGGATATTAAGGTAAAGACTGACGAAGATTACGTTGGTAAAAAAATTATATGTTTAAACATTTTGCCGTTGAGACTTGTGTTAATGGTATTTCGTTGAATGCTGGAGTGATCGGATAATTTTGTTTTCTTATATACAAGTTATAACTTAATGGTATTCTTTGGAACTATCGTTTTACGACTACAGACAGAAAGAAGTGAAATTTATTCATGTTTTTTATTCTATCCACATCGTTTGTGATGGATAACGTGTTGTGCTCAATTTTATTTTCAAAAATTCATTTATTAGTGTAAGACCTTTGGAAGATCAAAGATGTCATAATTTCTGCTTCAACATTATTGCAACTTTTTTTGTGAAGAAAAAGGCATTAAACATTTTGATTATAACAATTTGTTTTCCCATTTACAAATTGTGACCATAAATGATTTATGTAAATTATTTAAAAACGAACTATTAATCAATGTGGAAAACTTTTAGTAGTCTTGTTAATCTATTTTTGTGTAGATATAAGTCTCTATCTATTGTCTTTTTCCTTTGTCTCTTTCTGTAGTATCAAATTAGTTCATCCAGTTCAAATAATTATCAACGTACTAGAACATGTTTGATTAGGTTACTATCTATGATATTCTTATGTTTCTATTGTATTATAGGTCCAATCTAAATCTGTATTGGCTGCTTTATACAGTTCAGAAGGTTCTGTTTTAGAAAGGCATCATTTCTCTCAGACCATTTGTGTATTAAACACAGAGGGATGTAATATTTTTGAAAATGTTTCAAAAGAAGTGAGTCAATATCGTATTTTTCCTCAGTACAACTAATCACGATCTCGTTAATTTTGACTGTCAGAAAATGTTATCAATTGTACTTTTTACATTTATAACTGAATACTGGAGCAATAATGAAATCATCTCTTAGGTTTTCACATAAAATTGTTATCTACGGTGATGAATTTAGGGTATATCCACCGACAACGAGTTATTCTGCTATTCTGTTTATACCTGAGTACACAATGGAGGACTATCGATTACCGGATTACGTGCAGGTGGTTTATAGAAACAATATACAGTTATTTGCTTAAAACTGAAAGTTGATGGACTATGCTGGATATGAATATATTAAATCGGTTATTACTGAATTGAGTACAGATATAACACACCTATATGATCATTTACCCTTTTTAAGAACAAACATATCACTAACCATAAAAATTGTGTATGAAGATTTGGAGTATAAATACTTTAAAACATAAATTAAATTTATGATTATCGCTAGCTTAATCCTCAATAAATCTGTCTAAGAATATAATTATGTCAAGAATTGCTTTATTGAATTCTAGTGATTATTAAAATGTGTTGTTAGCTTAATCAAAACTGGCCCAATCGCATGAAACTCATAACTTGTTCTCACACTTTTTATTTTTTCAATCTTAGAGTAAACTCATATGCATTTTTCTATTTACTGAAATAATTATGAAATTACATCATCTTAAGTAATTTTCAACCACAATCAAATAAGCAGTGCATGAAATTGAAGTATTTAATCAAGTTAATTCTCAGTAGATTATAAACTGTTTTCCGTCTTACTATTAATTTAAGTAATACACTTTTAGTTTGATTTGTTCACTAGAATAGATATTTCAATATTTTGTAATCAACCGTATTGATATATGTAAAATATTTTGGTTTCGTGCAAATATAATGCATACTATGACAATATATATATGCATTGTATGTACTTATTTTGACTAGTAATCATATCCTAGTTTAACATTTAGCCTGAAAATACGAGCTTTTGCTATCAAGCGTTTTTTTATACACTTAACTAAATAGTGAAATATTAAATTACTTTCTCAAATGTCATATACACCCTTTTAAGTACAGTTTGTTTTTATGAAAAATTCATTATAAAATCTTGAAATCCTTAGCTTTTAGGATAGTTTTTTTTCTCACTTAGAAACAGTTGTTAAAGCGTGAAATATATTTATCAGTTAAAAGTTTTGTAGCTAACGTGAAAAAAACACATTTTAAATCAAATATCGAAACTACTTTTTTCAGTCGTTAAAGTATAAGTTTCAGGTTTCCTCATTGTGTAAACGCAACCATATATATATATATATATATCAAATCCGTTCATTTATTCTTTTCATTTTTGTTATTTTATACTTAAATAAACAGTAAAACACCGAAACCTAATGTTCATTTTATTTTTTATTATTAAGTATAAATTCAGCCATTCTGTAGTTAAAAATATGGGAATACCTTTTAATGAAATTGTTTAAATTGGACGTAGTCGATATCCTTTACTTTTTAATCCCATTAATTATTTTAAGTCATTTTACTAACTTCTAGCTAAACTTTGTTGAAATATATAAGACTAGAAATATTCATGTGTATTAGACTACTGATATTTACATCATAACATAAAGTGTTTAACATACACTATTGAAGAAAGTCTACTTAAAATCTAACCATCGAAGTGAGGAAGAAAATGAAAACAATTCGGAGTAAAAAAAATGATGAGAGATACCTGTTTACTGAAATACTCCATATTGGTTAGAATAATTTACTAATTAAACTTAATTCTACACTATAAATGTAGCATATGATTGATGGTAAAACAACATAAGAAATTGTGTAAGTTGTACAATACTAACAGATTATTCATGAGGTTAGACAGAAGATGAATGGAATTTCTGGATGTTCTGTCAAACGGATTATAATATATTTGATAAGTTTTTCTCGAATTTTCAATTCTGTCATACCTAAAATTAAGATAACAAATAGACAATATTTTCTTTGATGAATTTATTATATTAGTATATGGAACTTAATTATATGTACATATTTGTGCCTAGGTTTCAGTGAGTACGTTTTTCAACTAACGGATTAATAGTTAACCAGGGAACAAATTTTGAAATTAAATCTGTATTAATTGAGGGTTTGTGAACTATTTATATTGAGGAATATTACTGATCAGTCTCGGTTACGAATGTACTTCCTGAGAGGACTATTTAGACTTGGTATTAAGTTACAAATTTGAGTAAACATCAAATATACCTACACTTTTGGTAACATTATATCGAAGCAACCGGCTCAAGAGGTATGTGTGATTAAAGTGACTGAGCGTTTGCATTCTTGAATATTAACAGTTCAAAATTGCAAGACCTTATAACTTTATACCGTTAAACAATTTAATGGCAATATAGACCGAGTAATTCAGTCCATAGTGAATCGGACGTTTGAAGTGAAAGGTGCTGAATACAAATCTTAGTGTAGAAATCAGCACTAAGATGCAGGTATATCCATTTGATAAATTCCATGCAGGAAGAAATACAATTCTTCGATCCCATTGCTAATCAAATGCCAAAGATACTTCCGTCTATATTTGTTCGGGAAATAATTTTTGAAACTTTTTACTACTTTTTTTGTCGAAAAACTTTCCAACATTATGGCATCGTATTTTTCCCTGAACTTTAATCTACAGGATTATGGTCAGTTGTTAGATCATATTCGTGACATAATCCTAGCAACTGATTTGTCACATCATCTTCGTATAATGCCAAAATTGGAAGAACTATCTCATAGAGGGTATGATGGGACGAAATCAGAGGATCGTTACCTTCTTTTATGCCTCCTAATGACTTCAGCTGACTTGAGCGATCAAACCAAATCTTGGAACAATACAGTTTATGTTGCGAAATTAATTTATGAAGAATTTTTCCAACAAGGTGATATGGAAAAATCATTAGGACATAATCCAGTTGATAGTATGGATAGGGAACGAGCATGTGTGCCACATTTACAAATCTCTTTCTTGGATTATATAATTACACCACTATACAAGTAGGTTTAATTAGTCTTTTAGTGATATAGTCTATTACATAACGAGTGTTACCTTTGTCATCTGTGTGCTCCAAATACCATTTTGATTATGATTTTAATGTTCTGACCATTATTTCTTCATGAAAATTTACAATGTTGTCACTACTAGAATTTTTTAGAATCTTAGGACTCTTTAAATGATTCTTCGTCTCCATATCGGTACCTGGTTTGATGCGACCAGAAACTCGGAGATAATATGAAAGCTCATTTTCATAGTCCAACAGGAATCGGTCATCATCATGTAAATTTCATTTCTTGGTATGCAAATAAAGAGAGATCACGAATATCAAATTGGCCAAATTTGATACAGATTTTTTGCATGATGTAATCCGTCATGTATTTCGCTATGTTTGTAGCCATCAACCTTATTACCTTCATGTGCGTATTTTCTGAAAACACATGGTATACGATTGTTATTAAACAATTAATGATTACATATTTAAAAAGAGTATCAAGTTACTCTAGGATACATTTGCACTTTACTTTTTATTGAAATATTCAGAACACTTGAGACAAATAACATATAACTTTCAAAATATGTTCATATATGTTGTTGACTCCTATCATTTCACCTGTCTTACATGAGAGTGATATTCTGTTCTCTAGGTATTTTTCTCATATCCATCCAATTAATCTATGTCAGTTTGATCATATTGATAGCTTCAATAGCATAGATAGATTTAATCCAGGTTCAAACAAAAAACATACAATTTAAGGGTATTAATTTCCACTGACTTGTTTTACGATGTCTAGATTTTATATTAATCTAATCGTTTACTGTACAGGAAATATACGATCATAATCTGAAGCTTGGAAAATGCAAAAAGACAATTCCAGCTATGATAAACAGGATCTTAAGAATAATGTTTGAGTAAGTGTTGCGAAATTTCGACAGAATAAATTAAATTTTGTAACAGGATGAATATTGTAATAAAAAATTTCACTCTTTGTACCATTTTTTTTTCCATAACCACAGGGTACTGAACAATTTATATCCGCAATGCTCAAGTATTTTAGATACTATAGAGAAAAATCGTGATAACTGGAAAATAATTCTTGAACTTGTCGAAAAAGGTGATATTAAAGGTAATGGTTCGGAGATTTTCAATCATAATCTTATTGAAATATTGGCTCAGTTACAAGTGAAATCAACAACGGAACCAAAATCAGTATCCTTGGCACCGTCAGTTGTACAACCACTTTCATCATATTCGTCATCATTAAAACCAGATGAATAAAATTTGTTATTTTGTGTGATGTAAATTAACTTAAAAAGATGATTTTCCTCTTTCTTATTATGTGTAGATTATCAAACAATCCTTCATTTCCTTTTTTTAATCTGACAAATATATCAATTCTAGTGTAAGTGTACATAAATCAGCTGATCAAAAATAAACATTAAAAAGTAACTTGCATATTTGTAAAAATGCCAGAGATTGAAAACAAAATTAACTCCACAGTTTAGCTGGACAGCTTGCTCTGAGCTTCTTTGGGAAAATGACCAAATCTCAGAATTATTAGGTTTAAAATAGGGATCAAACAACGACAGCTTTCAAGATAAAATGTTGAAAGATGATTTTTAAAATATGAACATGAGTTATTTCATGTAAAATATTCTCGAAGTATAGTTAGTACAGAAACTTATGTGTCTATGGAGATTTCTTGTGTAAAATCGTTGTATTTAGCCTATGATATGGGCACAAATTAATTTATCTGATTGACAGTCACCGGTCAAACTTGTCAGAAGATGCACTGTAAGAAAATAACTAAGATTATGTTTTAATAGCTACGTTAAACGAACTGGTTGTCAGGGTCGTATCTAAACATGATAATGGATGTACTGATTTAATGTATTTCTCTGCTCTCCACCAAACCTGAAATGAAAAGGGAGTAGTGTGTTAAATTTATGCTAACTTATTGATAAATAGTTGCATTTGTATAGTCAATTATATTCCATCACATCGATTCGAATTATTTTGGTTTATTTAGCTATGTAAACTATCGGTTGTTAATCTTTCTTTTGAGAACCAAAACCATTTTGAGGGACTTTATTCTAGCCAAAGTCCATTATGTGTGCTGTTTTTATTGCAAGTAACGCTGTCAGATTTTCTGTCACGTTTTCTAAGGCGTTTTTCGTGTAAGAAAACACCTTGTTCCCACTATATGTTTGTGTTAGGAAAATACGCTTCTATTCGAAGTTTCGTAAAGATACAGTCTTATCCAAAAATTATTTTCATTAAAAACGTAAAACAATTGTGAAATTATTGAAAAGGCTGACAAATGTGACTGCGGTTTTCTCTCATTTGCTCTCTCTCTCTCTCTCTCTCTCTCTATATATATATATATATATATATATATATATATATATATATATAGGTTTTACGAACGAGTAAATCGTATATTTATTTACAACAAATTACATTACCATTACCTCTTATAAATATCATTTTCATTGTAGCTAAATAATGGGAAAAGTAACAATCGGTGCATTAGTTACTACCGTTATCAGTAAAGCAACAAATGACGAATGATTACTCAGCATCATTCATATAAGCTTATATTTAGTAGATAGAACTTAAGACAATGAATAACCAATCCCAATAATATGCGGTATGTATACATCAGTTGACTATCGTTATTGATCAATCCCTTAATTAACCAATAATTACTTTTCAGAAGTTATACTAGGATGAGTGGCCACCAGTCATAACCACAAGTATGTATTCTACTATTTGCTGACAATATATAAAGTTTCAAATACTGACATTGTGTTAAATTTATGTAAACGGCCTCCATCTTTGGATTCATTCGTAGGTAACAGTAACGTGAAAACGAGTGAGAAACGATATGGTTAATTACCTTCAAGTTATATTATTAAATATCAGTATACTTGACACCAGAATTAAGCATTCGATGAAACACAATCATCACAGTAAACAGTATTTGTTCTACAACTAATCGGAAATGTTAAAATGGATAAAAATCGATTCATATATGGTACTTTTTTCTGTAATGTCCTAATTTTTCCCTTCTTATTTCAAATGATTTATTTGACCTTAATTTATTATCTGATTATTTGTTCATGATGTTCAAAATACAATGCAACAATCGCTATTGAAAGCTAAATGGCTTTTTTGGATTTCTTTTTATCGTTGACTATTTATTCATAGTCATGTTAACTAAATTTTTTGGTATATATATATATATATATATATATATATATACATATATATATATATATATATATATATATATATATAATGAATCGATTGATGTTAGGCCACCATTGAAAACCTGAAAGCACTGGACGGCCGTTTCGTCCTATTGTGGAACCTTTTATTAATAACATGAATCAATACTCAACCCAATCCATGAATCAATCTAAAACAAATGAAAAATAACAAGGTGAGATTAACATCAAATAATGTTTTGAAGTAAAAAATAATTGAATTGAAAAACGTCTAGACCGTAAGGTATCTCTGTGAATCAGATATGTTGTAAAATGTTTAGTTTCACTTCCTTGATATAAAAATGCTCTGTATCAAAGCGATCTAATACTCTCTCATTTCTAAATATGTCTGAATTCAGATATTGATATTAATTTGGCTTGATCATTAGTTAAACGAGGGAATAAAAATGATGGAACAAATCGACGTTAAGCATTCGCACGCGAAACTGATAGGTTCTGGGTTCGAATCTCATCGGGTGGGATTATGGATGAGCATTTTCGTTTTAACAAAATAAACCGTATAAGTTTTTCTCTTATAAGAAATTTACATTTTCAAATTTAAATTAAACTTTTATTCAAATGGATAAATGTGAATTTGCTTAAGCATTCTGACTATTCATTTAAAGAATAATTCCAACCCTTATTAAGGTCAACCGTACACAAAAAGAAAGATTGTTTATTTTAACTTAGTTTATTCTGATTAGTAAATACTGTTCGCAGTGGCATACTCTGGATTATACACGCCGACATAAAAGTACATTTTACCTTGTATTATTATTGAAAGATTTTCTAACCAGTTCATTTGATTTAAAAAGTAGAAACTTTACAGATAATTTGTTTTTTTCCCATTTTACTTCTTGCAATGCTATTTTCTGTCAATGATAGGTTCATTTAGCTGAATGACTTAACTTTAAAACTTTCATCATCACTAAAAACAATATCTCTGATGCTTACTACAAAAACTGATTGACAAATTATATCGTTCTGATTAGCTTTTTTTTAAAACAAATCGATTTTTTAATCTCACGAAATCTTTTTGGTTAATCAATAGTGTGCCTAACTGTTTTAAGGTTTAAAGGTTCACAAGACAATAGAGAAAATTATCATTATATTGTATCATATTTTTGTACAAACTATTTTCACTGAACAACGTAAAAGTAAGTTAACTTGTAATCGACTAATATTCATAAAAACTTGGACGAATACATAGAAAGTGATACGTTGAATAACATCTTTAATTCTTATTATTAACGTTTCAGTTTGTATTCACTTACAAAACATCTTTTATTTAAATATCAGTAAATTCATGTAGTTTTTAAACATTTTATAGATAGTTTAAAGCAATGAAAATAACATCTTACAAACAATATAGATATCTAAAATTCAAAAATAAGCTTTACATTGAATCCACAATCACCAATTCTATACACTAGGGATGATAAGTCGGCTGTATATCATATTATCTTCCTGCTTTTCGTTCTTCACAATAATATCATTAACAATGACATATAGATGGCGCACTATTCTAATTACACATTTAGATTTACTTTTCTCTATTGTATTGCATATTAAAATAAATTTATATGATTTCTGGTTATTTAATTGTGACATAACCAACAAATAGATTTACACTTTTATACGGTAAAAGAGAAATAGAATTACCAGATCACAATTTATAAGATTCATCCTGAATGTCTTATGAATCAATTACATAAAACAAATTTGTATCAATTTCAAGTAATCAAAGTCATTTAATGCGTTTTACACGGTGACATAACATAAGAGATGAAAAAAGCTTAAGATGAACACATTTTAAGCATATGAGCATATAAATGGCTACTAAAAAATATTATATATTTTTTCCAAAATTTTCGATTATATAGTTACAAAAAGGCAGAAATATCTTCCGTACATTGACCAAACTGGTGGATTTATGCACAGAAAATATTAATTGCTGTGATAAAATATTTTATGAAATCTATTTTTATGCTCATGGCTAAGTTGTTATAATGGCGCCTTGTTATACTAAACCCATACTGTAGCTTTATACATAAATACAAGGCCTTGTTTAGTCTTATTCCACTGTTAAAATTCATTGTCTTAAATCGCATTAATATATATTGGAAAACATTTGTCGAAATTAGGTAAGAAAAAAGGTTTAGTCAGGTACCTTTTAATGGCCCGATATCTGTCTCCAATTAGATCGTATGAATGATTGTTATCAAAATATACATCCTGGCTATCCTTGTATATAATCGTCGACTTAATCCGTGTTAGTGAATCAGTCAGTCAGTCAGTCAGTCAGTTACAACGTATGACCAGGCACATATGTGCATCGGTCCAAGTTGCCATACCGCATTAACACAAGATGAACACCGAATTCATAGAAGTAGTTCATTCAATGGTGGTAATATATAAAAAAAAGATTGCTTGGTTAAAACAGGAAGAAAGAATTATTTCGTAAAAAAGATATGAAGCGATTTTAGTCTCATAGTTTAAGGGAAGATAAAGAGTGTATACACCGACGCCATTGTGATCCATTCTGAACCATGTCATCCAGAGTTTGCAACCATCGGTTACAATAGTTACGCGGACATCAACCAAGTAGTCTGCATCTACCAACATGGCTCAGTCCAGAAGTTAGTGACTTCAAGCACTGATGCCACGTTTTGGTCTGGCCACCCCCAACTTTTTTCCAACCATCCCGAACACCGGTTAGCATTGCAGGTCGTGGTAATCGGTGTTTGGGCATACGTAACACGTGGCCCAACCATCTCAGTCGATGAAGATTCACAACCTCATCAACTGATTTACCATCATTCCCTAAAACATTGCGTCTAACCTCACTATTACATACCCAGTGATTCCAGCAGGTGCGAGCAATATTTCTAAGACATCTGTGGTCAAATACTAGTAGCTTACGAATATCTTCTACCCTTAATGGCCACGTTTCGCAGCCGTAAATTAAAACAGAACGAACTGCCGCTCAGTATGCTGTGTTAATGAATAACGGAATTAAATAAGTTAAATACGAGACTGGATTTTTGAATACCTATATTTTGTACACTCATTGATCTGGACAAACAATCAAAGGAATGAAGTGGAGAGAAGCGAAATGACGCGCAGTTCAGAAGACAAATGAGCCGACTCCATTTAATTGTTTAAGGGTAAATATTATATATAAATTTATTCAATGATCGTGTATGCATAGGTGATACAAGTTGACAGCGTACACGGGGTTAAAACTTCTATCGGTATATTGCTAATGTCTTTGAAATACATATAACTACTTATTTAATCACTGTCAT